AACGTTGATCATGCTGTAGTAGCTCGACATTACACAATCATGAAGGGTGTTCAAAGGTCCCCTAAATCTTCCAAAAACTCAAAATGTATACAAATCAGCTCACAGAGAGTGCAAATATTGGCATTTTCTGGTTAAAACTGACATTTTGGATGCTGAAAATGTCAGAAATGGACTCCCCAATAACCCCCCAAAACACTCAAAAGTGTTCCAAATCGGACGACTAACTATTGTCCCCATAGGCTATAATGGTAATTAATGGTATAACACAACTTGTGCTAATTGTGCAAATTGCTCAACATATGAAAGTTAGCATCTGGTAGTTTCTATGTGCTGGAGACCCGTACTATACATTTCTGACGTAACACTTTGGGGTACTCAACATTTCCGGGTTCACAATGGGACTCTATGAGCTGGAAACTAGACTATGACCATATATTTCAGAAAAGAGCAGAAAGACGTTGAAGAAGTCGCCCTTAAAATTCAATCTCACAAAGGGGAAGTTCATGCTGGAGTGGCTGTTGTTCACATTGTGTTTTCAGAGCGGATTTGGTTTCTTCTTTTTTATCACAGGTTCAGGTTTCATCACTGCCAACTGGATGAGGAGCCGATGAATACCGTGACTACTACAAAGAGTCCGTCGCCCCCTGATGAACGCAAACTGTAACCTTTCAGACCAAAGAGAAAAACCAGATGTGAAGGGCTAAAGAAGTGGGGAAGGGGCTTAAGCAGATGTTTACATTTCAACCACTGATGATGTTCAAAATGTCATATAATTACAATTAGTAGACTTTTAAAAAAAAAGATATTTGACTTGTATTTGAACTTCATTGCCTCCTCTATATTGGTTTTAGACATGTTTTTGAGCACTGGATAGATCAGAGGATGAGATGCGAAGACAGAGGAATCTTTGTTCTCCCTTAAACATATGCTTTACTTATTTTGCTTCTAAAACGTAAATTTTCGAGTGGTGTAAAGTAAAGAAGTATATTTACTGAATTACTGTAGTACAATTTTGAGGTACTGCTACTGTGTACTCCACTACAACTCAGAGGTAAATGGTGTACTTTTCCTCCACTACATGTATTTAATACCTTTAGTTACTTCACAGATGTGGATGAATGATGTGAAATATAACCAAGTGTTAAATCAGACTTTAGTTCCACCTGGAGTAAATTCACAAGCTACCCTGCAGTATACAAAGTCATTCAAACTAGCTGCACCTTTACCAGCTTTGAGAACACTTTCATGATCAATAACTATAATCCAAACATAACATATATAATAAAACCTTGTTTCAGTCACCATATCTCCACTGTAGCTTCATGTGACAATAAAGCCTTTGAATCTTGGAGGAAAGTTGAATGTCAATAGTTTCTCTAACATTACATCCACATTCTGACTGTTTCAAAGTGGATGTAATGATCACGTTGCTCTCGGCAGCGCATCGTATCACTGCTAGACTTTCTATTTCAAAGGAATGTTAGAGAACAGAAATAGAACAATCCACGAAAGCTTGCCAGGAAGAAAGTGACAACCCCCCCCACCCACACACACGCACACACACACACACGCACGCACACACGCACACACACACACACACACACACACACACACACACACACACACACACACTCTCTCTCCCTCTGGCTCACCTTCACTCATCACCTCCTCCTTCTGTTTCTAGGCAACACACAGGAAAAGCATCACTTGGAGACGTAAAAACGACAGGAAGTGCTTCCATTAAAACACAGATTTTGTCAAATTGGTGCAGATATTTCTAAATATTCCTGTGTTTCTACAAACCATATATCATACTCTGTGGTGAATGTGGTCTGTGGTCGTGCATCTGAAGGTGTTTGCATTGTTTCTTCTATTCTTACGTACTTGTAATGCTTCTCATGTCTAACTGTGAGGATGCACCTGATGCGCCTAAATGACAAGAGTCCCAAATGAACGAGAGGGAAGGAGGGAAAATGTGCAATCCAAGGAAGGTTTGGAGAGCGAGGGATGGAGAGAGCTGGAGTTTGGGGAGAAGGATCAATATCTAATTTCAGTGCTGAGTTCACTCTGGACAGTTTTCCAATAAGACTGGGAGAGAACAGCGAAGTTTGAATAGCTATGTATCTCCGTCTGTCTCACTGTGCGTCTCTCTCTGTCTCTTTGTCTCTCTTTGTCTCCCTCCCTGCAGCCTCATGGGTGGATCACACTTCCATCTGCCGCCGAGTCCATTGGTCTGATGAACACCAGCTATAAGAAACCATCACAGAGTCAAGATGTGAAGTCGCTCCTAAAGAATGAGCAGCATCTGTATGTCGAAGCAGCGGTAATTACAATAAATGTGTTCGGAGATATAACATAATTAATTAAAAGACTATAGCAACTGCTTTTGGGCCGATGTGTGTCAACTGGTTTTTGCTTATTTATTGACAATTCATTTAGGAATATGCACCAAGAAAACAAATCATAAACTGACATGATAAGGGCGTCAATTGACCTAAAAGAGACAAATGTAAAAAAGATGATCAGATAGTCTGACTCTTACTAAACTCAACATTAAACCAGTGGGCTTGGGGCTGCATGACAGAGATGAGGTATACAGGTAGAAAGTATATGCATTGGTTTTTCATGTGATTTGCTGCCAGTAGAAAAACATATTGAATAACTGGGCTGGTTGACTGTTAAAATGTAGTCTACAGTGCTATAGATCCACACAACCCCCTGTGGTTCAGCATGCCACGAAATAAAGGGTTTCTCACTCAGAAGCTGCTGTTTCTGTTTTGTTTTTTTAAATACAACCAGAGCTGTGGTGATACTAAGGTACATCTGTCTTCTCTGCAGTCCAAACCACAGCACTGAGAGCATGGTGGGGGTGTTAAGGGGGGAGTTTACCAGCTACAAATCCACTTTTGTCCATCTAACAAATCTCTCTGCAGGTGTCATTCGAATTACATTTTGTATACATCTTCTTGGTTTCCTGCCGACTGTAGATCGCCTTTAAAAACCACACATACGCCCACTGCTTGTCATCTGAGAAACACCTTTGTTATAATTCAATTTTGAGTCAGTATTTGTATGTAAACGATGTGACACGACATGACTACTCGAGTATGAAAAGAGTTGCTCATTTCCGTTTTTTTGGCAAACAGCTTTTTCTGTTTTGGTTCCCTCTCTCAGCTCTGTGTCTTTGTAAGTCACAGCAGGCAGCGTTTTTTCAGCAAAAAGCTCCAAATAACCGGCGTTACACGATACCTGCTCAGCAGAGAACAACAGGCACACTCAGTTAGAGAACACAATGGAGCATTGAGCAGCTACAAGACAGATATTTTGTCAGGAGTTGGTGGTGGCTGATCAGAAACATGACCATTCCAAATGAATGCTAATAAAGCTCTGCATCTGCTGGATCTGTAATGAGCAAATGCTGGCTGTTAGCCATTTCAACAACAAAGACGATAATAGACCTTTCTTCCAACATTGAAGCTTGTCCAAAAAGCATGTCAAGATAAGTCTCTGAAGTGTTTGGCTGAAACACCAAACAGATCATGGCAGCATCCCATAATCCCCTCTGTTTCAGCCCTGTTCCAAAAGTGCTGATTCTCTGTCTGTTACTTTAGATGCTAATGAGCTGCTGCTGGCCACACCCCTCTGAGAGATGATTGGTTTAAAGAAACTCAATGGTGCTCGAGGAGGAGATTCAGGTGATAAGGGGGGGGGGGGGGTACCTAGGTTGGTGATTGGCTAATGGTTACACAACACACAAAAACATTGTGACATCACAAAGTGGCCAAAATGTGATCAGCTCATTTTCAGACAGGTTTTTATATAAATGGATCAGGACAAAAAGAGTCTTTGTTCCTGAAACTTTCAGAGTCTCTTTACACAGAGGGGACACATGTTGATGTATAGAATACATGAAGAAGTGGATTTTTCATAATGGGTGACCTTTAAGTTTTGAATGACTCTCAACCTAAACTACAGCTGTCAACATTGTACATGCTATCCTGTGAAAATCACCTCAGGATTTCTTGAAACAAAATGTGAATAATCAACAGGAATTTGAATGCACATTTGCATAACTTCAGGATGGTAATACCCTGGTGACATGTCAGACATCAGCAGATTACAGTGAAATAACTAAGATCACAGGCAGAGCATGACTTAAACTGCTCTGACAAAGATTTCCCAGCAGCACAGGACAGGAGCTGGTCCTTCAGAGCTCTGTGCTGCACTGCCCTCCTGTGGTTCAGATATACACTACAGCTGTAAGAGTCCCTATTGTGCAAATACTGCATCTCTGATAATAAAGAAGCCTGCAGTACGGTGCAAAAAGCATAGGCATTCAAACACAGAGGTTTAACAATAATTGCCCCACACTCACACCACACTTTCTTTGCTCCAAAAATGTAAATATATCTGAAAATCCACGTTACAGTGACACGTACACATTTATTTAATCCCTTTAGTTACTTTAAAGATTTGGATTAATGATGTGAAATATAATCAAGTGTTAAATCAGACTTTAGTTCCACCTGGAGTAAATTCACAAGCTACCCTGCAGTATACAAAGTCATTCAAACTAGCTACACCTTTACCAGCTTTGATAACACTTTAATGATCAATCATTATAAAACATATCATATATATTATTCTGAAATGGACCAATCTGCACAATGACTACTTTTACTGTCGCTACTTTAACTATATTTTGATGATAATACTTTTCTACTTTTACTTGAGGACATTTTGAATGCAGGACTTTTACTGTAACAGAGTATTCCTACACTCTGGTACTTCTACTTTTACTCAAGTACAAGATCTGAGTACTTCTACTTTTACTCAAGTACAAGATCTGAGTACTTCTCCCACCTCTGATCATTATACATCAGGTAACCAAAAATCACCATTCAAATCCTCTATTACTAATGAGTGTGTAGGACATGTTGAGATCTGCCAGCAGGGGCGCTCGTGTCTGTCCTCCTTGCGGGAACCAAATAAGGAAATGACGTCTTAAATAGAAAAGTGAAGCATTGACACCGGGTTGTCGCGCGGATCTGTGAGCGCGTGAGAGGTTAATGAAGGTGTGGGACCTGGCGCTGACACGAGACGAGGTGAGTGCATATTTACAGTATGTCTTTTATATAACGTCCAAAAGACCAGAGGTAGTCTTTCCCCTGGAACCAAAGCTAAAGGCTAACTAGCTGCTCGGCTAGAACTACATCTCCCTTAGCACGTGCAGGCCACATCAGCGTCACTCAAATATGATATCAATTAAAAACTCAATGTGTGGTGGGAGGGATATCTGTGGAAGCTTCTTTAGGTTGGTTAACTGTCTCTTATTTACAGAGGTGGGAGAAGAACTCAGATCTTGTACCTGAGTAAAAGGAGAAGTACTCAGTTCTTGCACTTGAGTAAAAGTACCAGAGTGTAGGAATACTCTGTTACAGTAAAAGTCCTGCATTCAAAATGTTCCTCAAGTAAAAGTAGAAAAGTATTATCATCAAAATATAGTTAAAGTAGCGACAGTAAAAGTAGTCATTGTGCAGATTGGTCCATTTCAGAATAATATATATGATATGTTTTATAATGATTGATCATGAAAGTGTTCTCAAAGCTGGTAAAGGTGCAGCTAGTTTGAATGACTTTGTATACTGCAGGGTAGCTTGTGAATTTACTCCAGGTGGAACTAAAGTCTGATTTAACACCTGATTATATTTCACATCATTCATCCACATCTGTGAAGTAACTAAAGGTATTAAATACATGTAGTGGAGGAAAAGTACACCATTTACCTCTGAACTGAAGTGGAGTAGGAGTACAAAGTAGCAACACATTGAAATACTCAAGTAAAGTACAAGTACCTCAAAATACTATCACTATGTCCCTAAATATTACTGGACTGTCTGTAATACTCCAGTGGTTGAAAGTAACTAAGTACATGTACTCAAGTATTGTACTTATTGGACATATTTGTACTTTACTTGAGTATTTCCATTTGTTGTTACTTTATACTTCTACTCCACTACATGTACTTTAACACTCACAGTTACTTTGTGTACATACATACACATGATATGCTGATATGGTATAATGCAGTACTTTACTACTAATGTACACAGTATTTCAAGTATATACATTTGGTCCACATTAACAAACTTCAACAGTAAAAGGCTCTTGCATGTATACAACCAGGATAGTATAATTTTCATTCAAATATAACACTGGGACCAATCCTTTCTACATAGTACTTTAAGTACATTTAGCTGATTATACTTTGTTACTGAAATGGGTCATTGTGCTGGATAAGTACTTTTTTTAGTATAATTTGATGCTAAAGACCATTGTATTTGTCCTTTTAAAGTAAAGGATCCGAGTACTTCTTCCAACACTGTATTTAACAGCTTCAGCAGTCGGTGCCAACTTGGTGTTACTTAGTTAAGGACACATGCGTTGGTGTTATTTCCTAATATTTACACAAATGATATCACATGTACTGGGAGGATGTGTGGATCAGCTACACCTACAGTCTGTACCACACCAATTACAAGTTAGTAGCTTTGAAATAAAATGTAAAAATACAGGCAGTTTCAGTTTCTGTGCTCCATGTTGGACAGAGGGAATGTCTTCACTGCTCACACGGTGTGTGTGTGTGTGTGTGTGTGTGTGTGTGTGTGTGTGTGTGTGTGTGTGTGTGTGTGTGTGTGTGTGTGTGTGTGTGTGTGTGTGTGGTGTGTGTGTGTGTGTGTGTGTGTGTGTGGTGTGTGTGTGTGTGTGTGTGTGTGTGTGTGTGTGTGTGTGTGTGTGTGTGTGTGTGTGTGTGTGTGTCGTGTGTGTGTGTGTGTGTGTGTGTGTGTGTGTGTGTGTGTGTGTGTGTGTGTGTGTGTGTGTGTGTGTGTGTGTGTGTGTGTGTGTGTGTGTGTGTGTGTGTGTGTGTGTGTGTGTGTGTGTGTGTGTGTGTGTGTGTGTGTACAATAAGTACGGATGTGTTGCTAGACAGCATAAGGAAAAGCAGCACGGTCCAACAGACGTGTTATAAACAATCCCCTAGTTTAACACAAATATGTAAATGGTAACAAATTCAACTTTACCATCACAATGCTAGGTTAATATATCAGAGTGTCTAACGTAACAGACCAAGGATCTTAATTAACCAATCGTAGAAGTTATATAGAGTTCCTCCGGGAGACGCTCTTGCATTTCCAAAAACACCACTTAAGATTGAGTTGATGTGAGGAGTGAGGAGATACTGAAGAGAGTGCTGAATTCAGCAAAGGAGATGAGAGATGCCTGCATCACAAAGCATACATGTGGTATACAACAGTCAGAGCGTTTGGCACTTCATGATGTGTGTGACTGGACAGAAGTGTCATCCCGCGTGATCAGCTTTAATTACCATTGGTTAGGGCTGTGCAATTAATCGTATTTTAATCGCAATTACGATTTTGGCCTGCCACAATTACGAAAACAACATAATCGGAAAAAAACTATTATTTTGCTTTGCTAGGTTGTGACAGTGCAACATATTTGATCTAATTAATTTTGGTCTCATTTATTTGTATTTATCATATTTATATATGTTTAGTAGCTTGTGGAAGTGCGCTCCAAAATATTTGTTGATCTTGTTTATTGGTATTTATTATTTTGATATTATTTATTTAAATTTATCATTTATTTTATTTATTTTTGTATTGGTTTTTCAGTTGAATTATACGTTCAGGGTAATTAACAGTTAAAAATATACAGTTCAAATTATTATTTGTATTTGTTTTAAAGTTCAATAAATGGATTTTTTCAAAGTCAATGAATAATCGTATTTAATAATCGTGATATCAATTATTGACCCAAATAATCGTGATTATGATTTTTGCCATAATCGCACAGCCCTACCATTGGTACAGTACAGGTCCTTTTGATTGGCCGCCTGCCATCATATGTGAGCGCAGTTATCAGGAACAAAGGGGAAGGGTTTTTATTCTGGTCCACATCCCAGCCTGGGCTACATTTAGACGGTGAGGTGAGACACCAGACGGTTCACTTGAGCATAAAACAATACTGTCAAAGGTCTATTTAACTATGTTTGTACCAGTAGTCAACCGTGTTATTTACAAGCAAACACATCCGTGAATGTCCCGATCTCACCATGTTCAAATCACAAATCTAAACTCAGAACTGCTTTTACTCTGTAATTAATATTGTGTTTTATATATGTTAAGTGTGTTGTTTTAATTATGTTTTTAAGTGTCTTTGAGTTTTAAGAAAAGCACTCTATAAATAAAATGCATTATTTTAATAATTATTATCTGTGTGACAGGATGGGTGATATAACTAAGGGTCAGACTACCTTCTACTCCAATGCGGAGGGCTACTGGAAGGACGTGGCCCCCACGGTGGACGGCATGCTGGGGGGCTACGGCAAGATATCAAACATCGACCTCAACGGATCCAAGGCCTTCCTGCAGAAGTTCCTGGGAGTAAGACACATTTTAAAGATGTCAGAATGTGATTTATGAGACGTGTAAACAATGCACTGTGCATGTGTGTCAGGCTGAAGTCTAGGGAGTCCGAAATCTGACGGCTTAAACGTTGACTTTAACACACGTGACTTCACTCTGACTAAAGCCTTTTTGAGCAGCAAATCAACTTTCACTTTCCTGAGATGAGATATGCTTCATCCAGTGGATTATGCAAAAGTAAAGACTGTTATAGTAAACAAAACATGGACAACAATATGCACAAGGTCTGTTGTCTGATACTTTAAAACTATGAGCAAATCAAATAATGTGTTTGAGAAACATAAATTAAAGGAAAAACAATATATGACAATGCACTCAAAAAGCATCTTAAATGTTCCCGGTTAAAGGGGACCTATTGTGCAAAATCCACTTCTTCATGTCTCTTCTACATCAACATGTGTCCCCTCTTCTTCATGTCTCTTCTACATCAACATGTGTCCCCTCTTCTTCATGTCTCTTCTACATCAACATGTGTCCCCTCTTCTTCATGTCTCTTCTACATCAACATGTGTCCCCTCTTCTTCATGTCTCTTCTACATCAACATGTGTCCCCTCTTCTTCATGTCTCTTCTACATCAACATGTGTCCCCTCTTCTTCATGTCTCTTCTACATCAACATGTGTCCCCTCTTCTTCATGTCTCTTCTACATCAACATGTGTCCCCTCTTCTTCATGTTTCTTCTTCATCAACATGTGTCCCCTCTTCTTCATGTCTCTTCTACATAACCATGTGTCCCCTCTTCTTCATGTCTCTTCTACATCAACATGTGTCCCCTCTTCTTCATGTCTCTTCTACATCAACATGTGTCCCCTCTTCTTCATGTCTCTTCTACATCAACATGTGTCCCCTCTTCTTCATGTTTCGTCTTCATCAACATGTGTCCCCTCTTCTATAAAAACCTGTCTGAAAATGAGCTGATCAAATTTTGGCCACTTTATGATGTCATAACGATGTTTTGTCTTGTGTAACCATTAGCCAATCAGCAACCAAGGTAACCCCCCCCCCCCACCTTATCACCTGAATCTCCTCCTAGAGCACCATTGTGTTCTTTGTAACCAAATCTCTCTCAGAGGGGCGTGGGGAGGGGCTCCTTATTTTCATCTAAAGTAACAGACAGAGAATCAGCACTTTTGAAACAGGGCTGAAACAGAGGGGATTATGGGATGCAGCAATGATCTGTTTGGTGTTTCAGCCAATCAGAGACAGGCTCTGTATATATCAGAGACCTGTGATATATTGATGTAAAACAGTATAATAGGGGACCTTTAAGCTTCTTGTTGTCCCTGCTTTACTCCCCCTTGTTGACCTCTTGTGTGTTTCTTCCTTTGAAGGAAGGTGAAGGGAAGACGGGCAGCGGCTGCGCTCTGGACTGCGGAGCGGGCATCGGGAGGATCACCAAGCGTTTGCTGCTGCCTCTGTTCAGCACCGTGGACCTGGTGGACGTCACCGAGGAGTTCCTGGAACAAGCCAAGACGTACCTGGCAGAGGGAGGAGAGAGAGTGGGGAAATATCACTGCTGCGGCCTGCAGGACTTCGTACCTGAGAGCGGACGCTACGACGTCATCTGGATCCAGTGGGTCATCGGTGAGTGTGACGTTATAATTATAAACAGTTTGAAACAGTTTCTACAGAGGTTTTTAGACGGCTCATCTGGATCCAGTGGGTCATCGGTGAGTCTAAAGTTATAATTCTTTTTTCTTTGTGATCACAATTTTTTTTTTATAAAATAACTGAAAGTACATACAAAGAAAAATTAGGCAACAACAATTTCTTACAAAATGCAGAATACATATGTAAGCTAACAACAATACAGACAAACATAAATAAAATAATAACAATAAAATAATCCCAACCCTCCCTCCCACACACACACACACACACACACACACACACACACAGTCATTATGACACACACACACACACAGTCATTATGACACACACACACACACACACACACACACAGTCATTATGACACACACACACACACAGAGTCATTATGACACACACACACACAGAGTCATTATGACACACACACAGTCATTATGACACACACACACACAGTCATTATGACACACACACACACACACACACAGTCATTATGACACACACACAGTCATTATGACACACAGAGTCATGACACACACACAGTCATTATGACACACACACACACACACACACACACACATTATGACACACACACACAGACAGAGTCATTATGACACACACACACACACACAGACAGAGTCATTATGACACACACACACACACAGTCATTATGACACACACACACACACACACACACACACACACACACACAGAGGGTCTCTCATGTTTGTAAAGCACTTTGAATGGCCTTGTGTTGAAAGGTGCTATATAAATAAACTTGCCTTGCCTTGTCACAGACCTTTTCAAATATGTCGTCCTTCCTTCCATGTGGTCTCATCCCCTTCCTCCTGCTCTCTCCCTGCAGGCCACCTGACAGACGACCACCTGGTGGATTTCCTGCAGCGTTGTCAGAAATCCCTCCGGCCAAACGGCCTGATCGTCATCAAGGACAATGTGTCGTACGAGGGCGTGGTTCCCGACGATGTGGACAGCAGCGTGTGCCGAGACCTGGACATCGTTCACGGTCTGGTGAGCAAAGCGGGGCTGAGCATCGTTCACGAGGAGCAACAGATGGACTTCCCTAAGGAGATCTACCAAGTGCACACGCTGGCTCTCAGATAGGACTCTTTCACTTCGCAGACCTTGTATATATGCCGTGTTTCTGATGATGTGGAAAGTGTGCCAGCTATCAGTGTATGATGTGAAACGATCTGCATTGCTTTGTGGAGTGTGTGTTGCGAACGCCATGCATCAGTGTGAATGCCGAGTCATCTTTTCTGAGCTTTAAGGTATTACTCTTGGAATATTTGCTATCACCTATTCAAGATGGACACTATCGAGCATGCACTTCCTGTCAGTGTGATGTCCAGAAGGTCCAATAGATAGTCTAATGCTGTAATGTGTTTGGAAGACATCATGCTAGTGCTGCTGCATATTTATGTATGACCCACAGGGGGCAGTGTTATTGAATGTGAGGTCCACAGGATTCATCAGCATCACACACTGGAGACTGCATCTTCAAGCAGTCTCACACGGACATATTCTCAATGTTTTTAAAGAGATATTTTGTATGTTTGACATCTTAACGACAACATGTTTGCAGATCCATGTGCTATCGTCGCAAATTCTGATCTTGTATTAATGATAAAGAGATGATTTTTGTTTTAGCCCCTGGACTGGACACTTTGCTATTTGTCCAGAAAAAAGGTGTTGTTCATTTTCAGGAATTTGTTATTTTAAGAGACCTAGCTATGTCAGTAAGGCCTGGTAAACTCAAATATGTGCCACCTACTTCACATATGAACTTAAAGTGGACCTATCATGCTATTTTTAGGCAATAGCATAGGTCTCGGATATATACAAATATATAAAAAACATGTCTATGAAGTGTTTTGCTCAAAATATATATCCCTCTATTTCACTTCCTGTTTCAAAAGTGTTGATTTTGGGTATAAAGCTTTAAAGAAATTGATAAAAAACAAAAGGAGGGGTCTGAGCTCATGCGGGACCCGGCAGCTACTGTCTAAACTAAATACTGCCGTGATGAAACGCCATATCATGGATTATCAAGGATTATTTCTGAAACAGTATGGAGCTCAAAGGCTTTCTCTCTTGCCGGTTATACCACAAGGTGAGTTCCTTTTTATTTCCTGCTTCTTCACACACATGCTCTCCAGTACAGGTTAGCTCTGAGTGTTAGCGATGCTAATGTGAACACCGACCATATTACGTCCAAAACAGTCGGGCATTGTTTCTGATAGCAACGTTTCTGATAGGGCCGTCGGTCCACATTTCAGATATTACGTCATATCGGACGCAAATCTGGATCAGCTCCGTTGTAGCCCCGTTTTTAGAGATTTGGGTACGGAGGAAAAGAGAGAGGGTTTTATTTTCTGACGCTGCGTGAGTTCCCTGACACACCGGGGACACATATTTATGTATAAAAGACATCAAAAAGTGCATTTTGCATGATAGGTCCCCTTTAAACATTGATAACAAACATGATAATTGCTCGTCTTCACAGGAGAACCCAACGAAAAGGATATTCAGATTAAGATAGTTTATTAAGGCATATTTAAAACATCAGTTAGTTATATTTCACAATGTGAGCAGCACCATTGAGCCATACTGTCGGCTTCTTCAGATCACATTATAATACATTATATTCAAGATTGTGTATCAGTAAGCTACAATAATGAATTGAGGATGAAAATACCCGTCAGGTTATCCTTTAATTTTATGTAGGAATCTGTTCTCACACAATTTAGGTTGAGTCATTTAAATATAAGTCACCCAATTAACTAAAGTCACCGACTCACAGCTCCTCCAAAAACCAGTCATGCTGCCGTTTACCTCCACGTGTGTCCAGGATCTCATTATTTTATCCTATTGGGAGAAATTGTCATACGTTTCTGAGTTATTCGAGAAACCAGTGACCTTGACTTTAGACCACTTGGATGTAAACGGGTAATCCTTCAGTACCAGTTTACGTTTGTGCCCATTTCTCATCTTTGCTTTTAGTACAGTGGCCCCTACAAGTTGAAGTAGTGGAAATACACGAGGTAGAAGAAAACACAACCATGTTTTTATTCACTATAATATGTTTAGTTTATGAAACAGATGGTTGTATACACATGTTTTAACCCTCTGTTTCATAAACCAGACGTATTGTAGTAAGGAAAACCATGGTTGTGTTTTCTTCTACCTCGGGTCGGGGTATCTTGAAAATGAAAGCTTTTATTTGGCTGTTTGTTCCTCCATCTTTCGGCGTGTTTGACTGCAGACGATGGGTTTGTTCTCACTGGATGATGCGCACATATTTCATATCCGTGTGGCGTTCAAGACACCAACGCTGCGACGCAGATTGAGAATCTCCCGTCAGTTCACACGGTGGAGAATGGTCTGGAAGGATGCTGACTGATGGATGATTTTGCGGAGATGTTTTCAGGACCAGGTCTCGCTCTGGAATCGACCCGTCCTCTCCATGGTGAGCAGCATCTGCTCGGCCTCCTCTGAGGACAGACCCCCCTCCTGCTGGAAGACTTCTTTCAGAGCGTCACACACACTGGTGGGCATGTCTTTAGCATTACTGCAAAGGAGAACAACAAGGTACACACACACTTTATATTCATATAATAATAATCAGTAATAGCACTTTCATACAACAGGTGCAGCCCTATTCAATTATAACTAATATTAAAGGTGTCACATGTCCAAATTGCATCACTTGGGTTGCCAGAAATACATGAAGAAATATTTGTAAGTATTGTATTTTAATGTCTGAACACACTTCTGCTTCTGTGACGAAATCATTTCCCAAATTGAGATCAATAAAGTATCTATCTATTCAGAGTGTACAATTCTTTGTGCATGATTTTCACAACACGTGATCCTAATGCAAAGTGGTGGGGGAAAAAATCGGCCATTTCCAAAAGTGGTGGAGACATGTCCCCCAGCGTCCCAAGTGTAAAGGACAGCTGTGATTGGAAGCCTATCCTAAATGCCTACATAGATGTGAATAAAGGAAAGAGATGGACTCACCCAGCGATGTAGAAGCAGGCACTTCTGTTGGCGATCAGATCCCACAGCAGCTCAGCGTTCTCTCTCACACGCTGCTGCACATACACCTTCTCCTCCTGAAGCACACACACAGTCAGTCATGACACACACACAGTCAGTCATTATAAAAAACACACACACACACACACACACACACACACACACACACACACACACACACACACACACACACACACAACTTTAAAATGCAGTATTGCTAATTTCACTTAAATACAAAATCCGAGTACTTCTTCCACCACCATTATTACTGCACTCACCCTCCCATGCGTTACCACCACAGAGCTCCCTCCCTCAGACTGTGTGTGTGTGTGTGTGTGTGTGTTACCTGGTCTCGTGAGAAGGCGGTGAAGAGGGTCAGATGTCCGGCCTCCATCTTCTCCTCCCACTCTGACCGGTAGAAGAAGTCTTTGGATTCAGAGCGACAGCCGAAGAACAGAACGTTGTCTAAACAGCAGGAGGATCAGAGCGAGTTAAACACCTGCACTTCTGAAAGAACATCCAGAACGTTCATCTGGTTGATACTTATATATATATCAATATTCCAAGTACTTGTATATAGACAATTCTGCACTTATTTTATTTACTTGCACTATTATCTGTTTTATTGTGTTGCTCTGTTGGAGGAGCCTGTGACCTGAGATGTTCATTGTCATAACTACACTGTAGCTAATGTACGAATGACAATAAAAGCCTTAAATCCGTGAATTTTCTTTTTTATCATACGTGAAGTCGTTCATTCAGAAAACAAGGAGACAGCGTCAGACAGGTGGAGGTCTCACCGTGTTTTCCCTCAGCGATCCTCTCCTGTACGGCCGAGCGGAAAGGAGCCAGTCCGGTCCCGGGGCCAACCATTATCACGGGGGGGTCCTTCTCTTTGGGGAACTTCAGACTTCCCTTCTTCACCCACAGAGGCACATACACCTCACCTGTAATACCACACAAGAAAATGTCACATGACCTCGCAGATTATCAAAATAATTTGCATCAGGGTTTCATTTGACTACACGTTACGTGGTATTTTACAAACGCTCTTAATGAGGTTTACAATATTTGGTCAGGAGGGTAAACCAAGCATTTAACCATTCAACTGGATGATTTGAGATGAGTCTTTACTCTTATTTCCTATTTTTGTGGATATATTCGATCACACAGTAACACTTCTCCATGTTTTCTGTTTATCTTCATCATGACATGTTGTATAATATGTACTTCTTCCACCGCTTTAATTCTATTGGTACAATAGATATATCGACACTGTGCTGCTGTTAGTCTCTCCACAGTCAATGAGTGAGTGTGTGTGCAGGTAATTAATGAGTGTGTGTAGTGTTTACATGGCTGAATTAGTGCAGTGAAAATATTATATATATATATGGTTAATTTACCAGGTGAGATAGCATTATTTCTGCTATAGTATGGGCGTACATATAAGTGTAACCACCTTTATATTTGATGTCCTAACTTAGAAATCCCCCTTCATGTATTTATCAGTTAAGTCTCAGAAACTCTTGATACCCAATATACTCAACATCCTGTATGCTACTAACAGAAACAAGGCACACAATGTAAGCATGTCTGGACACAGCCTCCAGCCAATCAGAATGCAGTATTCTCAGTGATCACTTGTGTGTGAGACCTTGTGCCTGTGGGTCCAGGGAGGCGAACCAGCTGGAGCAGAGGCCTCTCCGCGGTTTGTACATCTTGGTCTTATAACGGACCACCGCCACCAGGATCTGCAGCCGCTGTGGGTGAGCCTGAGTGGAGAAAAGGGTACTTTAAGTCACCGTGACGGCACATTTCAGAAAGGTAACACGTCGTCATGATGGATGGATGGATGGGCTACCTGCAGAGAGGAGGCGATGGAGAAGGAGCGAGGCTGGATCTCAGGGAACAGATCCAGGAGGAAGTCTACTTTCAGTTCTGCTGTAGTGTGAGGGAAATCTGCCAAGACCTGCAGGACAGAACACACTCAGTGAGCAGGTCAGAGGTCATGTGGACAGATAACGCTTCTGTGTGTGGGATCTACACAGGTCTGTCTCCTAAAAAACACACTGAGGCCGACAGACAAGGATCTGACTGAGAGAATTAAATAGTGCAATGTTTGCAAGACTAATGTACAAGTAATGCAGGAGAAGTGAACTATATACATGTAACATAAAAAGTCAACGGTTTAAAATGAAGTGTAGGAGCCAAAATTCTAATTTAGGCATTGTTGATTATTTCTATTTTTATCATTATTTGTTTACACCACACACCGTTGTCATTAGCAGCTTGAGGGAGATTATGTTCAGATCCCTGTTGTTGACAGTATGAACTTGTCGTAAATGGGTGTCTTTATGAAATTGGATGGGACACAAACTTCTGTAAGGACCGCTCATAGAGAGGCGATGTCCCTCCCTTTCCGGGGGACCTCCATGTGACCTTATTTCTGAAAAAGTATGTATTGAAGTCAATGGAGAGAGAAAGATTATCTTTTGATCCCGTTTGAATTGTGCCACGAATTACACACATGATGTTTGTCAATTTAAAAGATAATTTTGCAAGTAAAAAAAAAAAAAATGTGTCGTAAAACTGTGAAGTAACACTTTTTTTTGTGTGAAACCGCTCAATGAACTACATCTCCCGTCTCGCACCACACACCAAGACGGCCGTCACGTTGGCACATTTCACTTCTTTCTTTCAGAATGAGGCGGAAAGTATTAAAAGAGGTGAAAATCACTCCAAGTCTGGGCATGTTGAGAGCTGTACATACACACAAGGGGAGTTAGTCGGTTCCTAAGAGCCAGCATGCGGGACCGGGACTCTGGGATTTGTAGTCTTTCTAGTTGTGTATTTTTCATAGTCTTATATTTCAACAGTTTTACGACAAACTTCAACTTCAACGTCAACTTTTTTGACATGGAAATGATTTTTTAAGATTGACAAACATCATATGTGTAATTCGTGGCACAATTCAAACGGGATCGAGAGATAATCTTTCTCTCTCCATTGACTTCAATACATAATTTTTCCGAAATAAGGTCCCATGGGGCGGAAGTAGATGGGCGGGACTTCGCCTCTCTACGGGTAACCAGTCACCATGTGTTTTATTTGTCAGACAGTTTATAGATTTTTTTATCTTCAAGGTCATCTGTATATGTTTTACTCTCTAATGCTGGTTTATTTCTATTTCTATTTGAGATGTTTCTATTTTAGAATTGTTTATTTCTACTCTTTTCATTTCTACTTATGTGCAATGCCTTGTTTTGTTTCATGCTGCTGCAACACATGTTTTCCCAATCTGGGATCAGTGAAGTACATCTTATCTTATGTTATCTTTAATTATTGTTTTATTATAGATAGATAGAATGGGAGGGATGAACCCTCTGTAATGGTCACACATGCAGAGCACACAGCACACAGTGACATTTGGCCTCTGCATTTAACCCATCCTAGCACCAGGAGTCTAGCACTAGGAGCAGATTGAGATTGAGATGTGGAACCAAACTGAGCCTCTCCGTGACTTTAGTCAATGGGAGTATTTTGTCGCTACAGGAAGAGTATCATACATGTTATTTCTGTATTAATGTTATGTTTTCCTTCACCTCCAGAGCGCTGCGTCTTGGCCGGTTGCAGTACGAGTGCAGCTCGTCCTGGCCGGCAGCCGAGCAGAACTCCAGCAGCTTCTCCTTCTCCACCTCGTTGGTGGCGAAGGTAGAGAGCAGTTCAAAGAAGGAGCGTCGAGGCACGGCGGCCACGTCCAGGTGTTTCTCCACCAGGTGGCGCAAAGAGCAGGGCTGAGGGAGGCGGGGCGGGACTGAGGAGACAGGGAGTGATCGTTCATATCATCAGGAGTCTGTTAGACACTGAGGGGATTCAATATGTGTGGTGTGCAAATGAACATACACATACTCATAGTAAGCACACAGTTTGGTGGCTAATGAATATTGTGAGGATTAAGCAGCTACAGAAATGTTCTCAGGACATCAGACATCTCATTAAGTCTCTCTCTCCTTCTCACTCTCCCCAAACCAACACCCCTTCAAAGTAAAAGCACTATATAGTTACTGTATCCAAATAAGAAGCGCAGAAAGAGGAATGTTTTTTCAAAATAAAAGCCAATATCCAAACAAGAAGCATTTTTCTAAATAAAAGTACTGGATTCGGATTCTGTGTGGTTAACGAAAGAGCAGCTTACAGCCGAGACACCTCTGGAACTGGAATAAATATACACACACAGTTACGGCTAACTAAAGAAATAAAATATGTTAAGTTTGAAGTCGATGCTAGGCTAGTTAGCTCACCTGCAGTGCTGCCTGTGGCCCTCAGAGAGAATGTGGCCCCTGGATCTAACCTCAGCAGTTCACAGAATTGCTGAACGTCCTCTAGAGCGTTGCACGGATACATCATCACCACGTCACCCGCAGAGAACCTGCCCAGCAACAGCACAACGTTAACGCTGGTATTTCTCATTGATTTTGCCATGTTTACATCACTGTGGTGAAGTGTGGGCCAACACAGACAGCATACGAGTCATTTAAAACCTTTATTTACACTACAGGAAAAAGCAGTGAGAATTTTGCATATAAGGTATATTGAGTCAAGGCTGTTAAAACTTAAAGGTCCCATGTCATGCTTTTCTGGTTATTACCCGTCCCCTTGTGTGTTATGAAGGTTTTTCTGCATGTAAACGGTCTGCAGAGTCACAAACCCTCAAAGTACACCCTGTAGCGAGTAAAACTCTAACACAGAAAAGACCTGTCTATGCTGCCCCAGAACGCCTCGTTGGACATTTCTCTTTTTCTTCCTGGGTACAGTGACGTGCCCATACCCAAATGGACCCATTGGCCAAATGGACCAATCCGTGGAGCCGTTACGTTACGTCCGCGGAGCCGTTACGTTAAGTCCGTGGATTGGTCCAAATTGACCAATCCGCGGACTTCCTCACACACACACTCAATCTTTTCTCAGCTGCAGCTCCGCCGATTTCTCCTCCCTGAGACGGCTGTAAGTTTGTGTGTGAGCACACACACAAACTCCCAGCCAGGCTGCGGGTGTGTGTGTTCGGGCTGGGTTTCGCTGTGTCTCGCTGTCTCGCAGATGGCCACTGGGCTCACAGGGAGGGGGGGGGCAGGAGCTCCAACAAGCCGTTTAGGACAGAGAGTGAATACACATACTATACAGAGATTCTGTTATTGGAAAAATTGAACAATGTAAATCTATTTTAGTAGACCTCAACAATGGAATTATGATCAGTAGAAATGGCCATGACAAGGGACCTTTAAAGATGTAATAGGATTACAGACTTCTTTAGTCATGCATAAAACAAAAAGTATAATATTATTTCTGTGTAATTTAATATATCCAAGAGAATTACATGACTTCAGGCAAAATCCTCCTTGTTTTATCACACTTAAAGTGTTTGTATAAGCATTCATGTAACTATTAATTACATTAAACAGTACAATCCACACATCCTCTCTCCATTAAGCATTACCACTGTGCACATTTTAAAGAGACTCAAGACGACTTACTGGATGTCAGATCCGCTGATGTCGAACTCTATGTGCCTCACGTCCTGAAAGTGTGAGCTGTCCGTCACTCTGCAGTTGGACACCAGTCTGGCAGGAAAGGGGCGGGACTGGGAGGGGACACTTTGCTCCGTGGGAATCCTCAGCCTGTCTTCTGTCTTCTCGCTCACATCATCCAGGAAGTGGAACGTGTATGTTGGAGGAAGCCTGCCACAAGAATCAGGAAAAATAAAGAATTCAAAATGACTGGATTTAAACCCAGAGATGTCAAAAGTACACACATCCTTTACTCAAGTAGAAGTACAGATACTCGTGTTTAAAAATACTCTGGTAAAAGTAGAAGTACTGACTAAACTTCTTTACTCAAGTAAAAGTAAAGAGTGCTTTGAAATGTACTTCAGTAAAAAGTACCCATAACTACCATCTGTTTTAAAGAGTACCTGACCTCCCTTTATATTAATAGAACAATAATGTCATTGTTAGCTAATGAATGTTTCCATGCTGAACAACGGCAACATGACAACGTTTTCATTGGTCCCTCTTCTTTAGAGAAGACCAGGAAATGATGGATACACGGATCGTGTTCAAATCAATAGGCACGCAATGACTCTAAATAATAATGATCACGCCACCAAACACACATTCAAACTAAAGGAACCAGCCTGTTTGGAAAATGTGAGAAGTAGAAAGTACAGGTATTTGTGTTCAACATGTAAGAAGTAGAAAGTACAGGTATTTGTGTTCAACATGTAAGAAGTAGAAAGTACAGGTATTTGTGTTCAAAATGTAAGAAGTAGAAAGTACAGGTATTTGTGTTCAACATGTAAGAAGTAGAAAGTACAGGTATTTGTGTTCAACATGTAAGAAGTAGAAAGTACAGGTATTTGTGTTCAACATGTAAGAAGTAGAAAGTACAGGTATTTGTGTTCAACATGTAAGAAGTAGAAAGTACAGGTATTTGTGTTCAACATGTAAGAAGTAGAAAGTACAGGTATTTGGGTTCAACATGTAAGAAGTAGAAAGTACAGGTATTTGTGTTCAACATGTAAGAAGTAGAAAGTACAGGTATTTGGGTTCAACATGTAAGAAGTAGAAAGTACAGGTATTTGTGTTCAACATGTAAGAAGTAGAAAGTTCAGGTATTTGTGTTCAACATGTAAGAAGTAGAAAGTTCAGGTATTTGTGTTCAACATGTAAGAAGTAGAAAGTACAGGTATTTGTGTTCAACATGTAAGAAGTAGAAAGTACAGGTATTTGTGTTCAACATGTAAGAAGTAGAAAGTACAGGTATTTGTGTTCAAAATGTAAGAAGTAGAAAGTACAGGTATTTGTGTTCAACATGTAAGAAGTAGAAAGTACAGGTATTTGTGTTCAACATGTAAGAAGTAGAAAGTACAGGTATTTGTGTTCAACATGTAAGAAGTAGAAAGTACAGGTATTTGTGTTCAACATGTAAGAAGTAGAAAGTTCAGGTATTTGTGTTCAAAATGTAAGAAGTAGAAAGTACAGGTATTTGTGTTCAACATGTAAGAAGTAGAAAGTACAGGTAGTTGTGTTCAAAATGTAAGAAGTAGAAAGTACAGGTATTTGTGTTCAACATGTAAGAAGTAGAAAGTACAGGTATTTGTGTTCAACATGTAAGAAGTAGAAAGTTCAGGTATTTGTGTTCAAAATGTAAGAAGTAGAAAGTACAGGTATTTGTGTTCAACATGTGAGAAGTAGAAAGTACAGGTATTTGTGTTCAACATGTAAGAAGTAGAAAGTACAGGTAGTTGTGTTCAAAATGTAAGAAGTAGAAAGTACAGGTATTTGTGTTCAACATGTAAGAAGTAGAAAGTACAGGTATTTGTGTTCAACATGTAAGAAGTAGAAAGTACAGGTATTTGTGTTCAACATGTAAGAAGTAGAAAGTACAGGTATTAGTGTTCAACATGTAAGAAGTAGAAAGTACAGGTAGTTGTGTTCAAAATGTAAGAAGTAGAAAGTTCAGGTATTTGTGTTAGAAATGTAAGAAGTAGAAAGTACAGGTATTTGTGTTCAAAATGTAAGAAGTCAAAGTAAAAAGTCGTCAGAGAAATAAGTAGTGGAGTAAAGTACTGATACCAGAAAAATGTACTTAAGTACAGTAACAAAGTATTTGTACTCCACTACTTCCCACCTCTGGTTAAACCCAAACAGGACGAGCTCAACATGAGAAACTGTGTGTGAGGAAACTCACGGTTCATCTTCCCTCAGTGGGATCACAGCGGCCATAGACGGGTACAGAGAAAACACTTTCTCCCAGAATGCATCGAGCCACGGGTCGATCACTGCGTCGGCCCTGAGTCACACACAAAGAGAGAGAGAGAGAGAGAGAGAGAGAGAGAGAGAGAGAGAGAGAGAGAGAGAGAGAGAGAGAGAGAGAGAGAGAGAGAGAGAGAGAGAGAGAGAGAGAGAGAGAGAGGAGAGGAGAGAGAGAGAGAGAGAGAGAGAGAGAGAGAGAGAGAGGAGAGTAAAGGCAACGTCCACAGTTCAACTTCAGACTGGGAACATTTCTGCAGATGAATGGAGCTATATATTGATCTTTGCACTGGCTTTTAATACTAGTGCATCTTTGGGCACCTGGTGTAATTGTATATATATGAGCTATAAGTTTAGCCTCAGAGCGGCCGTATTCAATGGGAATATAGTGTTTCTTACCCCAGGTCGTGCTGGTCGTCAGCGAGCCCCACAGGCAGCAGCGCGTTGGCCCCCAGCTGCAGGAGGCGCTTCTGGAGCTTCTTCGCCACAAAGTTAAACCTGTGGGTAAAGATGGTGGAACATGAGTCACTGTGTCTGAGAGAGAAGTGAGAACCTGAAGAGCAGAGCTGGGAGGTAACTAAGAAGATGTACTCAAGAACTGTACTTCTGAACAATTATGAGGTACTTGTATTTTACTTGAGTATATCTATTTTATGCTACTGTGTACTTCTACTCCACTACAGTTCAGAGGTAAATGGTCTTTTTTTCCTCCACTACATGTATTTAATCCCTTTAGTTACTCTACAGATCTGGATGAATGATGTGAAATATAATCAAGTGTTAAATCAGACTTTAGTTCCACCTGGAGTAAATTCACAAGCTACCCTGCAGTATACAAAGTCATTCAAACTAGCTGCACCTTTACCAGCTTTGAGAACACTTTCATGATCAATCATTATAAAACATATCATATATATTATTCTGAAATGGACCAATCTGCACAATGACTACTTTTACTGTCGCTACTTTAACTATATTTTGATGATAATACTTTTATACTTTTACTTGAGGAACATTTTGAGGACTTTTACTGTAACAGAGTATTCCTACACTCTGGTACTTCTACTTTTACTCAAGTACACGATCTGAGTACTTCTCCCACCTCTGCTGAAGAGTACTCACTTAGGATAAGAGGAGTCCCCGAGGCCCAGAACTGCACAGTCCAAGTTCCTCAGAGATCCAACGGGCAACGACTTCCTGAAGACAAACTTCCAGAAGTTCTTTGAAGAGAGGAGAGATGGAAATAGAAGAACAACATATCTGTGAGTATTCTGACTGATATCATCTTAAATTAATCCTAGTTTAAAATACCATCAGTGGAGAGACTGGTGAGACTTGAACGTGGAGTTTAAGAGTTGTTGGGCTCCACTGGTTGAAGGTATATCTACAGTTACATCGGACTTTACATGAATTATTATTAGTTAATGTAGACACCACTTCCCCCAAGTTTCATGTGGAGCTACTCAGATTTTAACAGTCCTCAATTCTCCTTTTTTGTACCTTCATGTTGTCTGGAGGGTCTCCTTGGCCGGCGGTAGAGCTCACAAACACAACCAGAGACTCAGAGATCAGGCTGGCCTGTAGGACGAGAGGAAACACAGGAATTTTTACAAATCAAGACATATCCTGACGTAGGACTTTTCCATTCAAATGACAAATAATAATATGATAAAACAGAATATGAAATAAAATAAAGTAAAAAATAAAATAAAAATAAAGTAAAACAAGTTAAAATAAGGAAATAAATAAGATAATTATAAAAAATAATTAATAATAGTAAAGTAAATACAAATAAATAAAAGCATTTTACACAAGGAGTGACATCTTTAGCAGCATCGGTTACATGGGGACATTTTCCATAATGTTCTTTTGAAACTCAATTAAGTTAAAACAACCATTTTCAATTAGCTAGACCTCCAGGTTTCTTTTAACACCGTTCCACCTTTGGAGGAGTCCATTCTCATTTGTAGACTTGCCGTCATCTTTTCCATTGTGTAGACCTCCTGTTGAAGTCTGTGCCTCCACTGAATAATTGTCGGAGGTTTTAAAGGTCCACTATCATACTGTTTTTCATCAATATATCACAGGTCTCAGATATATACAAAACCTGTCTCTGATTGGCTGAAACACCAAACAGATCATTGCAGCATCCCATAATCCCCTCTGTTTCCAAAGTGCTGATTCTCTGTCTGTTACTTTAGATGAAAATAAGGAGCCCCTCCCCACGCCCCTCTGAGAGAGATTTGGTTAAAAAGAACACAATGGTGCTCTAGGAGGAGATTCAGGTGATAAGGTGGGGGGGGGGGGGTTACCTTGGTTGCTGATTGGCTAATGGTTACACAGGACAAAACATCGTTATGACATCATAAAGTGGCCAAAATCTGATCAGCTCATTTTCAGACAGGTTTTTATAAAAATGGATCAGGACAAAAAGAGAGAGAATCTTTGTTCCTGAAACTTTCAGAGTCTCTTTCCACAGAGGGGACACATGTTGATGAAGAAGAGACATGAAGAAGAGGGGACACATGGTGATGAAGAAGAGACATGAAGAAGAGGGGACACATGTTGATGTAGAAGAGACATGAAGAAGAGGGGACACATGTTGATGTAGAAGAGACATGAAGAAGAGGGGACACATGTTGATGTAGAAGAGACATGAAGAAGAGGGGACACATGTTGATGTAGAAGAGACATGAAGAAGAGGGGACACATGTTGATGTAGAAGAGACATGAAGAAGAGGGGACACATGTTGATGTAGAAGAGACATGAAGAAGAGGGGACACATGTTGATATAGAAGAGACATGAAGAAGAGGGGACACATGGTGATGTAGAAGAGACATGAAGAAGAGGGGACACATGTTGATGTAGAAGAGACATGAAGAAGAGGGGACACATGTTGATGTAGAAGAGACATGAAGAAGAGGGGACACATGTTGATGTAGAAGAGACATGGAGAAGAGGGGACACATGTTGATGTAGGAGAGACATGAAGAAGAGGGGACACATGTTGATGTAGAAGAGACATGAAGAAGAGGGGACACATGTTGATGTAGAAGAGACATGAAGAAGAGGGGACACATGTTGATGAAGAAGAGACATGAAGAAGAGGGGACACATGTTGATGTAGAAGAGACATGAAGAAGAGGGGACACATGTTGATGTAGAAGAGACATGAAGAAGAGGGGACACATGTTGATGTAGAAGAGACATGAAGAAGAGGGGACACATATTGATGTAGAAGAGACATGGAGAAGGGGATTTTGCATAATAGGTCCCCTTTAAAGCACATTGTTTAAATGTGATGTAGGTCACCCTCTCTCCCTGATACACTGAACACCAGCACCCTCACCACGTTGTAGTGATCCAGAGGCAGCACGTTGACCTGCAGGCGTCTCCTCTGCGCCTGGCGGCCGATCCTCTGGGCCGTGTCCTGGGCCGTGCCAGTCTGACTGCCATACAGGACCAGCAGAGAGGGCTGTGACATCATCACTGAGAGACACAACCACAGTGTGAGTAAATGGACTGGGAACGGTAAAACCTCTTCTCATGTGGTCACTCAGTTATGTCTATGTAGTCCAGGGGTGTCAAACTCAAATACACAGTGGACCAAAATAAAGAAAATGGGTACTAGTAGAGGGCCGGACTGGTTCAATGTTTATTGCAAAACTTATTGAAATGAACTTATTGCACATATTAAACCTGGGACTAACAAAGCTTAAATGATTGCCTATAAAAACAACATTAAACATTAAATAATCAGTTGCATTCATTTCTTATGGCTCTATCTGCAGCTTTTCCAGAGTCATTTCTTATGATTACATTTTTCCACAGGCCAACAACAGCTTCAAAAAAACTATTTCCCTCAAAGAAAAACCAAACATGCCCTGTTGTCTCAAGAAACAAAGTGCAGAAGGAAACATCCATGTAAACTCAGTGTGCTGCTCTGTGATGCTAGTTCAAGCCAGATACTTGGCATCTCATCTTGGGTGCAAGTTCATCAATGTTTGGGCTCAGGCTCTGAGCTGAGGAAACCCTCAGGATTGAGTGAAGGTGTGCGTGCAATATACCGGCGGGCCAGATCTAATAGTAATTAGAAATTATCCTGCGGGCCGAAATTAAATCCACCAAGGGCCTGATTTGGCCCCCGGGCCTTGAGTTTGACACCCCTGTAGTAACCCATCTGCAATCAATCTCTCCTTCATATGCTCCTTTATTTTAGGGTGACATTGTGTATTGGGACAGGCACAGAGGAGTAAGAAGTACTTTATACTTAACTAAAAGTTGAAATACTACAGTGTAAAAATACTTTGTTACAAATAATAGTCCGACATCCAAAATCTTAAAAGAATCAAAATATTGGCATCAAAATATACTTAAAGTACTTATTGTGCGTTATGTCCCATTTCAGAATCATATCAATTTACTAGATTATTATTATGTATGCATTCATGTGTTCACCACAGCTGGCAAAGGAGGAGCTAATTTAATGACTCAAGTAATTATGATTTAATTATATATCATAGTTTATGTATTCGTTTATTTATAAGTTGTATTAGTTCATAGTCTGAATATGTAAAGTAACTAGTGAGTCATTTTGTTAAATACATTTAGAGCAGTTAAAAGTCCCTCAAAGTCATACTTAAGTACAGTACTTGAGTAAATGTACATTATTACATTATTACACCACTGGACAGTCAGACAGTCAAGTACATCACATTAACCAGTAACTAGTTTAACTACTTGTACAGTAAACATTAACATCACTAAATCTCTTATAACACACTCAGTTATCTTCTTATTTAAGACATGACCGGAAGGCTAGCTGCTAGCATGCTAGTTAGCTGGCTAGAAAAGGTGTTCTACTATGATGTTTGTATTTATTTTCTTTATAAATCACATATATCGTCATGCATCAAAATAACATAATACACACACCTGTTGTCTTTGTCAACAATATCGTTAAACACCAATAGATTTAACAGATAGCTCCATTCAGTGAGGACAGCAGCTCCACATTGTAAACAACAACGCGACACTTTACGGCAGGCCAGCTTCACGTTCTGATTGGCTCTTCGTCATCTTCTGTTGTTTGAATGGCGGTTTGCAAAGGTGCGTTTACCGCCTCCTTCTGGAATGGAGTGTGGATCAGCACGGTGTAACCTCACTGTCCTTTTTAAAAACCTAAATACTGCCCTGTATGCTACATCCCCTGAACTCCATCGCAACATCTCTACTATATTTAAACCGGTTTGGTTTCTGTTCTGAGCTTCCTTTAGTAATACACGTTCATTCTGGTATTTTCGACATTGCAAATCAACAGTTTCGTCATTGCCACAATATTCACATTTACCGGATGTATGTTTTATCATAAATGAGGGTTGTTGATCTCCTGCACTTTGCACACAGATCATCAAACAGGTATTTGACTCATAGCATTTGTTTAATACATCCGTTTTTTAAGGTATTGGTAGTTTATTAGATCTGTATTTGTAGAGCACACATTCAGGTAACACAGGTACAGTCACACTGATCTGTGCTCACATGAAATCCTCTGAGTGCTGACAGCTGTGCCCCCAAAAGCAGATCCTTTAAACCACTGGTTCCCAACCTGGGGGTCATGGGAATCAGAATCAGAATACCTTTATTCGCCACACAGAGGGGAAATGTACAAGTAGAAATGACTAAGCAGTGAGAAGGACAGCTGTAACAAGGCAGCCACTTGAGGCAGTTGTCATTAGGCCTTCTTCAATTTAATGGGTGTGAGACAATTGTATTATTTAAAAGTACATTTGTTCTTCTGGTCTAAACATTATAAGCTATTCATTCGTTTCAATGAGGAAAACAAAATTAAACTGTTATTTTTTTAAAGTTTGAATTGCTTTTCAAGGAACTTTAAAGACAGATCTCACAGGATAACACCACAGTGTGGAAACATGAAACAAAGACAGAACTCTTATCGAAACTTTCTAAAAGCAAAGAGGAAAAACAAAACTCTGAAAGGACATAATCTGCTGATAATCTTCCCAATTTGCTTGTTTCTTGCACTAATTGCGTTCACTACTTTGCAGTTCATCACATGTTGTGTACTGGCATTATTATGTATTGAATAGAATATGAAATATCCATTAAAATATATCACCTAGTCAGGGGTCGTCAGCTTACTCAATGATGGAATAGGGAAAGGCGTCCCTTTTTATTTCTGTAGAGTACAAGTCGTTGGTTATTCTTGTCTCAATTAGCTACCAAGATATTTATATTACTGGGCTATTTGTAATTGAGTTATTGTTTCTCTTAGTCTTCCTTTTGTCATTCTGTCAGTGAAGTCTGTTCACCGTTTGTTAGGTTAGCATAGAGTTAAGCTCTGTTTATTTGACAGATTACCTCCTCAGAAACACAACGCTTTCAAACAGACCACAAGGTGAGCAGAGGACAACACATATTTAATATCACAGTCAGCTGACATGAAATGCAAGATTGTATAGATTTTATAAGATTGTGTATAGAAGTGAAAACAGTAACAGTCGGTGAAGATATTTCCTGAAGCATGCTGATAGTTAAGAGCACTTATAGAGTAGAACAGCATTAGTGATGGCTACACAGCTGATGGGCTGTTAGTTCGTACATATGCACCAGAAGCAGCAACTCAGATAAGAGAGGGATCAACAGATATGAGAGACAAGTGGGGGAGAAAGTAAAGGGAGGTTCAAGACTGGGTTACCGTCCATTGGTCCTATTGGTCTCTGGGTTATTTGAATACTTCGTGTGGCGAAGTAGGAATAAAACAAGTTTTGAAGTGGTCCTCTACCAGTTTGGCTTTTATTTTCGTAAAGCCTGGGGTATAGTGAGAGATTTTTTTTAAAGAACGGTTACACATCAGAGCAGCTGACGTTTAGACCTCAGCCAGGTGAGCTTCAAAATCATTGTATCTCCCATAAAGCCACTGGATTTGGGGTTGTTCATTTGGGTCTGATACCCCCTCTTTGTACCGCAGGTTCCCTTTTAGAAAGCATCAGTCTCCAAACCAAAGCTGAGATACGTTTGTTCACTCTGACAACTGAACATGATACACATCTAAATCTAAAATCAGTTCCCTTTAGTGCACATTTTTACATTTCCACACACCGAACCTGGGCCATTTTACACTGTATGAAACAGCTGTGGATTTATAGTCATGTGATATAGAGAGTGGGAGGGACTGATCGTGCACAGCAGCTGAGAAATGAGGGTCCCCTCAACCTGTGTTGATATGAAGTGATATACAGGTACCCATGGTAACAGTAGATTAGTGATGGCAATAGATGAGGGCAACCAGCAATTACAGGAAATGACTCGTATATAATATTGGATAGGTATATCTTCAGTGGACGACACAGACACATAGTATTTAAAAAGATATTTCTAGAAAAAGGCACACATCAATTGAACAGATGATAAGGCAGAGAACAGTCAGTGGGTGGTGGAGTCCACTCGGCTCTAAATATATAATACAGCAATAAAAGTATATTCAATTTAAAAATAAAACAGGATGCCAACACATTAAAATGATCCGAGTCAGTCTTGTTTCTGCTTCACAGATTACTGTTTGGTTAATACAGGAAAGTGACTCAGCTCTTGGATTATCTGACAGAAGCCTTTGTTTACATGTCAGCAGCTTTATAACCATGCATAAACATAGAGAGATGCACCGTGCAGGGGGTCCTAGCTGGTGTAGAGGCGGACGCGCTGAGATATGTTGCTGCGACACAGAGGGCAGCTCTGCATCGCCCCGCTGCAGCCATGGCAACAGCACACATGACCACAGGGCAGGAAGATGACCTGAGACTGGAGACAGGAAGTCACAATCAGTGGGCTGGCACACAAAGAACAACTAAGGCCCGAATCCAAACTGTCCAGAGTACAAATATGGCCACTTTCTGGTTAAAAAAAACTGCCATTTTTGATCCTGAAAATGTCAGAAATGGATTCAGCATTTTCAATAACCCCCTAAAAACACTCCATAATTGTCCAAATCGGCCAAACGAATGCTAATCGTGCAAATTTCCCAACATATGCAAGTTAGCATCCGGCAGTTTCTATGTGCAACAACGCTGATGTGAAACCAGTGTCATATTGACTGAGAGTGAAGGTGTTACTCTGCTTGCTCTTACCCCGGTCTCCATGCAGACCACACACTCCGAGATCCCCGGCCCCTCCACTGGGCTCGGGGCTGAGGGGGTGACGGGGCTCCCCGGGGTGAGGGGGGGGCTGGGAAGCTGGAAGGTGGAGGTGGTGGGAAGCGAAAGAGGAGAACGAGGGAATGGAGCTGTGGGGTGGACCTCTTCCTCTTCCTCCTCCAGCTGGACAGCCTTACCAGCTCCTGCAGGAGGAGAGTGGACATCAAACAGACACTCATTGACTTCCACTGAGTTTCAATGTCTCTCACACACACACTTTTTACACTGCTACGGACAGTCTTGCACTAATGCACATTTCCCAAAGATATTGAAGTGACTATTATTTTGTATTGATTGTTGTGCTTTTATTTATATCTTAAAAGGTAGGGTAGGTAACAATGGAGAAACCAGCTCGAGTGCGCTAGAATTTGAAAAGTACACAACCGGAAAAAATCTGCCCCTTCCTTCAGACTTCCTTATAGAGCCCCTCCTCCAACACACACGAACGCGCACATGACCAATGAGGGCACGAGATAAGTTTGTGCACAGATGGAAGGCTGACAGGCAGGTAGGCCATCCAGTTATTTTAGCCGGGCCGGCTCAGATGATTGGTCGTGCTTTTTACAGTATTACGACTTCCACAGATGATATTTGTGTATAGTCAAAGCATTTAATATATTCATTGCTATCGGGATGTTAAGAGCTTTCCATGGAATATAACAAAAAGTGTTTCTGAAGTGAATTACCTACCCCACCTTTAATGTGTGCATATGTATAAATGTGTCTGCTGATTGTGTGTATATATATATATATATATATATAGGTAATATACATATTTGTATATATATATTTGTATATTTTGTATTCGGGATTGTGGGAAACGGTATTTCGATCTCTAATAATAGTAATATTATCATATTCAATTACTTTTCAGACCCAATTCCCTCAAATTCAGGAACAAACACGGAATAGTTTAAAGACACGGATCAAAAAAGTCTATTCTTACACAAAATATATATAAATTCAAGCCCTTTTGTCTATTCTGAAATCCTTTTCCTTTAAAATGTACACACTTTCAAGGATCCGTGGGAACCATGAGTACAACATCACCTTTCAATATCACATCAATAATAAACTTATAATCAAATGAACACATTTCTCACGATGTCAACACAACAACAGAGCATGATGAGCTCCATAGAGATGGATGTTGTTCAGATCAGCTGTTCAGAACAAACACTACGTCCTTTTTACAGCCTACACTCATATCCTTGCTGATTACTCTTTGATAATGCAGTATGTGTTTGGACTGCTGTATTTGATTATGATTGAGACTTCACATATTGCGTTTCGTTGGGATTTTTCTGTAACCAGTGTGGGCAGCGATGTTTTTCTTTTGCTTTGAAAACTCACACATTCACACACTTCTTTGTATAATGTATAGAAACACAGGATGTTTACCTTCAGGGTGGTGTTCCCGAGCCCAGTTCAGAAGAGCCTTCTGGATTCCTATCTCACTAATGCCAAGCTGAAAACAGAGAAATGTGTGATGCTGATTATCCTGCATGACAGAGTGCCTTCATTTTTGGTCACTTAGGGCAGCACACACTGACATAATTCCCCTTTTAAACTGATACGGCTAATGGATGGATAAGAGCTAGGCTACCTATTTACACAACCAGCAGTTACTGAGCAACATTATCATTCATTAAAGTTTCTGATCACACGGTCCAGAGGGCAGGCAGTGTACAGTCGGTTTTAAGAGTGAACCAAAACAGAAAACAAAAACCCTGATCTGAAAATCTGAATAACGCTGAAGGGAACAGCAGATTATTCTCTGTGGGTTTTTCCACTACAAACCCTTTTCCTATATATAGTATGTAGTCATTTAATCGATTGGTACAATTCAAAGCCCTATTCTGATTTTTTTTGTAGTTGTCCCTCTCCTGTAGTGTCTTATAAAAAGGGTTTGTGTGCATGTAAATGGTCTGCAAAGGCTAACATCCCTGTGTTCTTTCTGCAGGCACACCTTCTTGAGGTCGGAGGCGGTCATGTGGCGCAGGGCCTCAGTCGTCACTCGATGGTGAGCCATGATGGGCAGGTAGTGCTGAGCGGACAGTTTGCACAGCAGGTTGACCAACTCTTTCTCCACGCCCGCTTCCTGCAATGACATCACGCTTTAACAACAGCCCTGCGTGGTGTCAGAGGGTTCTGTGAGTGTGTGTTCTGTGAGTGTGTGTGTGTTCTGTACAGTACCTGCATGCGTAGTGACAGCGGCTTAGCGTCCAGCAGCCTCTGGTACTGGATCATCCAGTAGTTCTGCTGGTTGGACGCCGACTTGCGCTCCATCTCCACCTGGAAACACAGAGCTCATGTTACCCCTTGACCCCAGAGACAACATGATGTGTGAGATTATAAACCAGGTAGCCCCATCTGATAATATGTTCATAGCTGTGATATAATAACAAAATAAAGCGGCTATGACTTGTTACTAATTTGCACAATTCAGTATCATTCCCTAAAAACGTAGACTAATGAACTAATACGTGTCGTCTGCTACACAACAGGAACATTTAAGGTTTAATCCTATACCTAGGATCCGTCTCCAAAGAAATGTCCACCTATCAAACGACACGCAGAGCTAATTGAAGAGGAGGTATTTTGTTTTATGTATGTTTGACAGTGTGTGTGAGGACCCCAGGTAGAATAGCCAATGCTCATGCTAGTGCTAATGGGGATCCTAATAAAGAATACGGATAAGGTTGACGGCCAGGAAAAATAAATGAACAGATAACCGTGAAGCAAACTATAAGGGCAGGTGTAGACGGGTGTAAGGATGAATGTGTCTTTCAGACGGCGACAAAAGAGACTGTCGGTTATTTTAACGTTTATTATGATGCTAACTGCTTGTGTGTACGTTTAATAGCAACAACCTCAGTAGCCAAGAAGGCTCTTTTTGATTATTATTTATGAATAAACTATTACAATTAGAATGTGTCTATTACTTCAAGAGTCCATACTTGATGTCTATTATATATGTGTTGGGAAAATCCTGAATGTACTCTTCCAATATGAGAGTAACATGATAACAAAGGTATCCCAACTGTAGCTGTGTACATGACAGGATGTATGATTACCTAGAAGAGCATCAGGACTGTTTGAGGCATATGATAGCTATGTGATTAACATGATGATTCAGCCTCTATGGAGATAGACATATGACAAGCATGATCATTTCTGACGTGGAGCTAATCTGAACTAAACATTGAATACTGCTTTGTATTCCTCCATCTTGTGACTGTGTAACTCCCTCTCTTGGATATCAGCATGTGAAGGACACCGTTTGAGATTTTGAGTAAAAAGACAGGATTTTGAGATTTTGAGAAAAAAGACAGAATTTTGAGAAAAAATCTGAATTTTTTGAAAAAGTCAGAATTTTGAGATTTTGAGAAAAAAGACAGAATTTTGAGATTTTGAGAGAAATTCTGAATTTTGAGAGAAATTCTGAATTTTGAGAGAAATTCTGAATTTTGAGAGAAATTCTGAATTTTGAGAGAAATTCTGAATTTTGAGATTTTGAGAAAAAAAAAGACAGATTTTTTTAGAAAAAAATACAGATTTTTTTAGAAAAAATACAGAATCTTTTGAAAAAAAGTCAGCATTGAGTTTTTTGAGAAAAATACAGAATTTAGAGATTTTGAGAAAAAATCAAATTTTTTTAAAAAAAGTCAGCATTTTCAGATTTTGAGAGAAATTCAGAATTTGGAGATTTTGAGAAAAAGTCAGAATTTGGAGATTTTGAGAAAAAGTCAGAATTTGGAGAAAAAAAGTCAGTGTTTTGTAGATGACAGGATGTATGATTACCTACAATAATTGATATTCCTCCATCTTGTGACTGTGTAACTCCCTCTCTTGTATATCACAGCATGTGAAGGACACTGTTCAGGAACTAGTTGATGCTATGTATGTGATGACTACTTCCATTCTGGAGAGGATCATAAATACATGGATCCTGAGATTGAAGCTCAAGCTGGTGACAAGTGATATTTTTCTAACAATATGCATGAAAGTTCACTTCAGCCTGTGACATGTTGTGATAATATCACAGCTTAGGGTCGTTGTTCGGCCTGTTGTTTAAACAGAAGGAACGTAAGCCTTCATTAGCATTATCTGATAGCATGAAAGCTAAAGAGAAGTCCTCACCAGAACCTGCCGCAGCTCCTGCTCTCTCTGCTCCTTCTGCTTCAGAAGCTGCTGCAGCAGATCACTGAGAGCGGTCCTCTGCTCCACCAGAACCTCCTGCACACACAGAACAATCATAATAATAATAATAATAACAACAATATATGTTAATTATATAGCGCTTTTCCTGGTGCTCAAAGTGTTTGAATATGAATATGTGTTGAGCTGGAAATAAATCATTAGCCTGGCTCTTGTATAACAATTATTATGGCTCAATGGAGCAATGACATGAATAAATAATATGGTTATCAAAAAGGGAGAAATCAGGTAGATGTGTGAAGGCAGTGAGAGAAGGCAGTGAGAGAAGGCAGTGAGAGAAGGCGTGACACCCACCTGCAGGTTCTCAGCATTCAGAGTACGCCTTTTAATCTCCAACCTAGTCAGCTGCTTTAACTCAGTCTCTATGAGCTTGATCTGGGGACAGTGGAGAAGCAGACATGAAGCCAGCAGGGAGAACGCAAAGTCAGCCTGACGACCTGCATGAAATGAGTGTCTATCTGCAGGTCAAATTACACGGGGTTTAACCAAAAAGTCAAATAAATGAAGCGAGTAGGAGTAAAGTTAGCTATGGACGGGCTGCGGATGACACGAGAGAAAGGAAAAATAAATGACATATATATATAAAGAAACAGGCTATAGTGCCACAGCTAACTGAGACTGTTAGAGGTCACTACAGGCTGACATTAGATGTAAAGATTATAGCAGTGTTATAAGATAAGATAAGACTTTATTTATACAAAAATACAAAAAGCAACATAATAATAAAACTGTACACTAACAGTGCAGTAAAAAGAGCAATTCAATAACTACAGGAAACATAGGCGGTCACATAATTAAATCTAAATATTGCATATAAGTAAATTATGTAAATTATGCTGACCAGCTTTCAGAGTTTCAGCACATTCTTGCCCTGCTGTTGGTGAGATGTAGACGTTTCTCAATAACGTAAAGATTGTACATTTGGATTGTATGGACCCAAAAGTTCAAATTCTGCGCCTTATTTCTTCGGAGCAGATGGCTTAGATACAGAATCTATAGATATTCAAAACTCATGCTTAATATCACATTAGGCAGTTCTTTATTGAACTACAGCCTTCCTTTCTTAAGTGGCTTTAATTATGGTAAAACATCAAAAAGGTTAATATAAAATTATATTAAAAGAAAACTGGATGTCTTGAAAATTATGAAGGCTTGTTGAAGTTGTGATACTAGTTTTAGACTGTACATAATCATGAGTGTACGCTCTCTTCTGTACAGCTTTTCATGTGATGGTGAGCTGCTTTCTGTCCGTGTTATAAAGTACTCAGAGACCAGAGACAGGTTTGACCCCCCCCCCCCCTTTTCTCTGCCCCTCCATACAGACCTGGTTGCGGATGTAACCGTGAACGGCATCTTTCTGCAGCTGCAGGGCCTGGAACGCTGCTATCTGCATCTCCTCCTGCAACCAGAGACCAATCAGAGGACATGACAGGTCACATGGTTGTTCAAAAGGTCTGATTTTGGTTCACACTGTTACATGACACTGGGGACAAACTCAGAAGACACACATACCTCCTGTATGATGTGAGCGATGGCTTTAGATTTGTCCAAAACTTGGAGGGAAAGCACTTTATCGAACTTCCTTTCCAAGCTCTCCATACTGTGGTAAAACCATGGGATACAACATGTTTCTCTCAGCTGTGATTTGCAAAGTTAACATGGTGTGTGTGTGTGTATGTGTGTATGTATGTATGTATGTATGTATGTATGTATCAGGGTTCATACACTTTTTCACCAATGATTTTCAATGACTTCTCCATGACCTTTACCTAATTTTCCATGACCAAAAAAATTACTCTTTCTCAGCGGTATCACTGAAAATGGTTTATTTTAACATGGTAAGCTGGAAAATAAGGTCTGCATATGAAACATGTTGTGCCTATCTAAAACAAATCAAATAGTTGGCTTACTAGCTTCTACACGCTAAAGCAACTCAAATCTCTCACCAGCAAAATACCTCGTCAGTTAAATGCCATTTTACGTTTCATTACTATACGATACAGTATTTATTATCATTATAGTATTACTATTTCGGCGATTAGATACAATATAAATTATATTTGATGCAACTTTAGTTACATTTCCATGACTTTTCCAAAACGTTGGGAAAAATATTGTTTTCCATAACTTTTCCAGGGCCTGGAATTAGCATTTTGAATTTCCATGACTTTTCCAGGTTTTTAATGACCGTAAGAACCCTGATGTATGTATGTATGTATGTATGTATGTATGTATGTATGTATGTATGTATGTATGTATGTATGTATGTATGTGTGTATGTGTGTATGTATGTGTGTATGTGTATATGTATGTATGTATGTATGTATGTATGTATGTATGTATGTATGTATGTGTGTGTGTTTACCTTCTGTGGGCCTCATTGACCAGGCTCCTCCTGCGGAAGTCACTGGCCTCCTGGAGGATGCTGATCATACAGCTTTCCGACAGCATCTTCTGCATGGCCACTACAGGGAGGGGAGAGAGGCAAAGGAAATGTGACAGAATTAATTGAACAACATACCGTTATACAGATGTAATAGCATTCAAAACATAACCCTTAGAGAGCATTAATGTGCTCAGCAATTGCAATGACAATCTGCTTATGATATCTTGTGTGCAAAATTGACTTTACATGAAAGGGGGGCAGCAGAGAAACTGAAAGGGTTCTACCTCTGGGAGCATGAATGTAAACAGGACACTATTGCTGAATGAATTGTGTCCCGATAGCAGTGACAGATTAGATATAGGGGGGTTCACAAAAATCTTCATCTTGGGGCCATGAAGTGTTACAGTATATTTTCAAGATAGCTTGCTCTGGACCAAAGTGTTGATGGCCAACAGAAAATCAATGTTTTACACTTATACAACAAGACGTGTGTTAAGGTTAAAGTACATCTGTGTTGGTTCATGGTTTGTTGCTGCTTACCTGCCACCTCCCTCTTCCTCAGGGAGTTGGTTTCTTCCTGTGTGATGGCCGTCAGATGCTCCAAACGGATCCTGAAGGGGAACATTTGTAAAGCAATGATCAGTTTTTATAGTAGCCATGGCTTTTAACACTTAGGATAATGGATCTTTCTCTGTAGGGGCTCCCTTTAGTTGCAGTTGAACTGGTGAAGTGGTGCAGATACAAAGTGTTTACCCACATCAGGGAATCTACCCGATACCTAACTTTAACTAACCACAAATATGCATCAGTCAAAAGGTACACAGTGCGGCTGCAGGCGATGTGTTTACATCCCTCGGGCCATCTGTGGCGTTACCGGGTGCAGAGACTTTTGTTTCCTGACATCTGTCCTCCACCTGAGTAACCTGCCTCTGTGGAGAGCAGCTGTCTATTTTAGTTTTAATACCTTCCAGCTTTGTTGTAACACAATTACAAATATTAGGTGAAAACACAAAGGCTTTTAAAAACTTTTCTACAAGTAAAGACCTGACAGTTAAGAGCCAGAGGAAGATGATACTCAACAAGGGGATTATGAGACACACATAACATCATAATGATAAGTATTAATGGTTTTCATTCATTTTTCCACGCCTGCATTCTGTGCCAACGTTTTGAAGGCCTCGTGTCTTTGTGCATCTTCCTTGCAAAGTGCTCTATAGGCAGACAGTGAGTTAGAGTGCTCAGATCTCTTGCTGTTATAGATAATGCATCAGTGGTCTCTCCACTCACCGATCCTCCTCCATAGCTTGAAGAAACTCTGCACTCTTTTTCAGCCTGGAAAGATACAAAAACAAAATCCAGTGCAGTTAGCAGAGACTCATCTGTGGACACGCAGTGCGCAGAGAGAATGTAATAAGTGACTCTTTACAACAACACAAACACTCCATGGTTAATGACTTCAGTGCCCACCTGCTCTTGTCCATCAGCATGGTGCTGATGCGGCAGCTGATGCCGTCCTCAGCCTGTCGGACTCTCTCCAGAACCAGCAGCCTCTCGGCCTCCTGAGTCCTCTGCTGCTGGCTGACGCCCAGCTCAAGACGCTCTTGCTCCTGGACATCACACACACACACACACACACATCACATATTACACACACATACACACACACATCACATATTACACACACATCACATATTACACACACATATTAAGATAAGATAAGAAGTACTTTATTGATCCCAATTAGGGAAATGTTTGTGTTGCAGCAGCCTAAAAAGACATGGCTTTGTACAATAAAAATTAAAAAGACTAGAAATAAGCAGAAAAAATACATGTTGAATTTACAAATTAACAATAACAAAATATAAAGCAAGTTATTATAAATACATAAGTATGTGAGGGATGGAATATTAAACTGAATAAATAAATGTAAAATGTACAGTGTGATTTTAAGTCCAAGAGAAGCACACGCATGACGCACACATCACACACAATCACACAATCACACAATCACACACACACACACACACACACACACACACACACACACACACACACACACACACACACACACACACACACACACACACACACACACACACACACACACACACACACACACACACACACACACACACACACACACACACACACACACACACACACACACACACACACACACACACACACACACACACACACACAGAGCTGAAAACAGTTTCTAACTTCTTTAGCTTCATCGTTTCTTTCTATTTACCGGACTCCCTTAACAATGTGCACATAACGTACTTACACTACCTCACTGTATTTACATTTTATAGCATGTGTATAATGTATATAGCATCCTATGTTTATATACATGTTCCTAGTAGTATATTGTATTTAATATTGTTCTTACTCATGTGCAATGCCTTCCTAACATGTTGCTGTGACAAAACCATTTCCAAGTTTAGGATCAGAAAGGCATATCTAATGAAATCTAATCTTAAAAGAAAAGGGACTTCATAAAGGGAAAGGACGTTTTAATGAGCATCAAATGTTCGTTTTCGATGCGCCATGACATCCATCCAGTTAGCAGACAGAAGTTTGCCATTCGGGCACACACATGTAGAAACTGTACAACTATCTCTATAAGCAGCAATGCTCACTGTTGATTTCTTCAAAGATAACATTCTGTCGTCTTAAAACAACAACAGCAGTGAGCAGTGAGGATTATTTAGGACAACAATATATTTACACAGAGACAAACAAATATTGCAGTTCTATCAGAGAAGAAGCAATCTCCCGCTGGTGAGTGAGCCGGCTGTTTACCTGCCGGACTGAGATGAGGACGTTTTCCTTGCGGGAGTTGTTCATGAGCATAATCTGGGTGTGCTCCTTCTTCTTCTCCTCCAGCTGCCACTCAAAGGCCAGCTTCTCCTGCTGCTTCTGCTCCTGCAGACACAGGGACGATCACAGTGGAGGTCTTATGTGTGTGAACAGTGTCAACATCTGAGCTTTGCTACAAGCCAGCAATGCAGCTACCGCCACCAAAGTGTCCCCATATAAGAGTGAACTTAACTGTATAATAGAAGCAGCAGCTTGACACCAAAACAGTTAGCTAAATAAAGCTAAACAAAGCCTGAACTGAGGGGAAGTGCAGAGTTAGTGATTGTTATCTGTTACCAATGAAACATGTTAAACAGAGAGCTGCTAGAGTCAGGCTGAATCTAACAGAGTGTGTCCTTACCTTTCTCTTCTCGTAGTCGTTGAATTTGCTCTGTAACAGAAATGATGAAATATTGAATCAAACTTCAAGTATCATCAACAAACACTAGTAAATACAGTGCAAGCAGCTAACTAGCCAACTAGGTCCAAGTGAACAGCACTTTACATGAAAAGACTGCCTTTCTCACACGATGTCCTGAGTGGTAGTGTGTGAGTGTGTGAGTGTGTTAATGTGTTAGTGTGTGAGTGTGTGAGTGTGTTAATGTGTTAATGTGTTAATGTGTTAGTGTGTTAATGTGTTAGTGTGTTAATGTGTTAGAGTGTGAGTGTGTTAACGTGTGAGTGTGTTAATGTGTTAGTGTGTTAATGTGTTAATGTGTGAGTGTGTTAACGTGTTAGTGTGTTAACGTGTTAGTGTGTGAGTGTGTGTGTGAATGTGTTAGTGTGTGAGTGTGTTAATGTGTTAGTGTGTTAATGTGTGAGTGTGTTCTGTGTTCGTGTGTTTCCTGTGTTCGGTGTGCGTGTGGTTCCTGTGTTCGTGGTGAGTGTGTTAGTGTGTTACTGTGTTCCTGTGTTCGTGTGTGCGTGTGTTCTGTGTTCGTGGTTCCTGTGCGTGGTTTCCTGTGTTCTGTGTGGTGTGTTACCGTGTGCGTGTGTTCCTGTGTTCGTGTGTTCCTGGTGTTCCTGTGTGAGTGTGTTCGTGTCTTAGTGTGTGAGTGTGTTCGTGTGTCCGTGTGTTCGTGTGTCCGTGTGTTCCGTGTGCGTGTGTTAATGTGTTTCGTGTGGTTCCTGTGTGCGTGTGTTTCGTGTCTTAGTGTGTGCGTGTGTTCGTGTGTTAATGTTGTTCGTGTGTTAGTGTGTTCCTGTTGCGTGTCGTTGTTTCCTGTGTTCGTGTGTCCGTGTGTTCGTTCGTGTGTCCGTGTGTTCGTGTGTGCGTGTGTTCGTGTGTTAGTGTGTTAATGTGTGAGTGTGTTAGTGTGTTAATGTGTTAGTGTGTTAGTGTGTTAATGTGTGAGTGTGTTAGTGTATTAGTGTGTGAGTGTGTTAGTGTGTTAATGTGTTAGTGTGTGTGTGAGTGTTAATGTGTTAGTGTGTTAATGTGTGAGTGTGTTAACGTGTTAGTGTGTGAGTGTGTGTGTGAGTGTGTGTGTGATTACTGTACCTTCCAGGCCTCGTCCAGAGCGTCCACACAGTCGGAGTGTGTGCCGCACTCACTCTCCAGCACTGGCAGCAGGTACTGGGAGGGGGGGCAGTACTCCTCTCCCAGCTCTGAAAACATGTCAAGGAAGAAATCAAACATTAGTATCTTACAGTATGCAGTCTAATATCTCAGCGGATAAATACCATCATTTAGCCTTCTTACTCCCACTTAATGCCGCTCTTCAAATCCACATCTCATGGAATGATTGTTCTGATATGTATACTTGTTGAAACCAGTTAGGTGTTGCTTTAGTTTTGTGTCACTCTAAATATAAGACATACATGACAACTATGACATTGCATTGGGTGACACATAAAAGTGGCTTTACTTTCTGTGGCCGCTCTGTGCTGCGTAGATATCACTGAGCATGCTCTGGGTATGGATCAGAGCAGCAGGGGCACAGTATGCCATTTTAGACTTTAAAGACCTTCATTCCCCCCCTAGGGTTCCTAAAGGTTCATCTTAATCTCAGAGTGTCACAGGGTATGGAAGAAAATAGCATTCAGAATGCATTTATATGAGTGAGGTGCAAACCGTTTGGTGGCCTGTTGGATTTATTAAAATGTATTCTGCCAGACGTGTGCAAGACAAACTACTGAAAAGAGCCTTCTGTTTTCTGAGGTTTATTAAAAAAGACCTTATTATTTGTGCAACAAAATTAAAACCAGTGATATTGTCTTAAACAAAATTGTTATCTGATACCATTTAGCTGAGTTAAAGTAATCCTTGTTGGTGCGGACGCATATTCATGTGTGTGTGTGTGTGTGTGTGTGTGTGTGTGTGTGTGTGTGTGTGTCTCACCAGAGCACAGGAAGCGCTGGATGCTCTCCGTTCCCTCCGTACACACAGAGGCAGGAGGGTAGGTCATGGTGGCAGCGTCCAGTGTGAAGCTCTGTCACAGAACACACACACACACACACACAGGGATGGTTTTTAACACATCTTAGTTATCAGCATTTGTTGTATTCCTGTAAGTTGGAATACCAAGAAACACACCTCTAGAGTGCGGATGTAGACGAGAGCTTTGGGCAGCTGCACGATGTTGTTGTCGCTCAGGTCCAGAGTGCGTAAGCTTCTCAAAGAACCAATGGAGGACGGCAGCTCACTCAGAGAGTTACCTGTACAGATGCATAGTGATATAGGGACATATTGTACATATCCTCTTATTCTTGAGAGTATTCAGGTGACAGTAAAACTCATACCTTTCAGATTGAGTGTCTGCAGAAGCCTCAGGTCCCCGATGTTCTCCGGCAGGGCCTTCAGACGGTTCTTCTCCACATTCAGAATCTGACAGGAAGCACAATGGGACCACAGAGATGATGAGAAGCATTCATTCACACACCTCCCCTGTATCAGGAGTACATTACAGTAATGCTTTACCTGCAGTGACGCCAGCTTCCCAATGTCTTCTGGGAGGGAAGTCAGCTTGTTGTCATGCAGATCCAGAACCTTTGGAGAAAGACCGATTCAGTCAGGCTTTTGTTGTGATGAAGCAGGGTCAGAGTTAAGACTTGTAGCGATGCTTGCTCAGAGGTTAAAACAGAAGGAGTAGCTGTGTGTGTTTTTACTCTCGGCTTTTTCACAGAAAGCTCAGCGTCACACAGCTTTGTGTTGGAGATGAACGATAGAAGGAGAACCACCACCACCACCGTCTAACTGGTTATGAAACCTCTTACACTGTAGTATGCTTTCAGCTGGTACTTATATCTCCCATCATGCAGTTTCTGTTGGTTTAGTAATTGACTGTACAACATGGAATCGATCGTTGCCTATTTCCTGTCTCATTATATTATTTACCAAACGAATGAAACAGTGATGAAACAGTTGTAAACATTATACTGGGGAATTGCATTTCTGTCCCATAATGAAAGAAACAGGGGAATTCATTTGAGTTTTTGGCCCAATGAAATCAAAGTAGAAGCAAATGCTTTATATGGATCTGCATATTTCTAATCAGAGTTCTATTATCTGTAATAGACCAGCAGTGCTACAGTATGTGCTACTGTAACTGCATGACTTTGTTCAGTGGCATTAATGTTATATTACAGCTCAACAAGTTTACAAACAGTATATACACTATTCCTTTATCTAGCAAAATGTCTCATCATGCTTGCATCCCGTTGACTTCACCTTTAAAGTAGCGAGAGTGCTGATGTCACATCCTTTGGGCAGCAGGGAGCTCAGCTCGTTGTTGTGGAGGATCAGGACCTGAGGAGAGCAACATGTGTGACTGGTGAGACAAACACTGACACAGGGTCCTGGTTCACATGATGGGGATGAACTATGTAACACATCGGTAGAATAGAAAATAAATACAAAATGTCTCCATGTTGGGTTCTTACCTTCTTCTGTAGCACCTTGCAAATGGAAAAGGCCGACGAGGGAACCTGTGACAGACAGAGCAGTGATGAGCGGCAGGACTAACACACTCAGTTGTGCAAACAGCTGTCTACAGTAAAGGCAGATAATAAAAGGTTAAAGCCTAAAAGTCAACATTAACACAAGAGAATGCAAATCACTATCAGTACTGAAGCATTGGTAAATAAAGCAGCTTCACTCATGAAGACATCTGCTACAATGTAAGGTGTATCATTAATAGACATTTACTGACATACACTAAGGGGACATTCACATAAAAAAGAAAAAAGGTGACTAACCAAGCACCAAAATATAAGTACTGGTACACAACAAACATTGCACAGTATGGTGTTCCTCTTTTGCATAAGAAATGAAGGGCTGATTGAACAATTTATATTGGAGTTGCATTTTCATGTTCCCGTGATAATGGGAAAAGGATATAAAAATGTTGAACTATTCCTTTAAAAGGTCAGTTAATAGTGTGAACTGGCTTTCAAAAGTTTGACAAAGAGACATGTATTGTAGTATGAATAGAGATTTAGTCACAAACCGTGATCAGTGAACACACTCACCTCTGAGAGCTCACAGGCCGACACGTCCAGGGTGTCATCAGCCCCCGCCTCCTTAGTCTGCAACAAGGAAGAACAGTCAGTGGTTCGTTTGGGAGAGAAAATACATGTTATGTTAACAAGGAAAAAATATGTTATCCACATTTGAAATAAACCCACGGTTCTTACCCGGCACAGCTGATATTCCAGCCTCTTCTGGGACTCCTCGCTGAGCTTCTTCTTCCTGAAGAACAGAGGCATCCTGTGGCCCGTCTGTCCGGCTGTCTCTGCTGCGTTTCCCTCCACGGTGGAGGGCGGGTGGACAGTGCCTACACACTGAAGATGTAGAACAGGAAGACTTATCAGATAACGCAAAATGGCTTGAACTCATATGGCATTAGTCATTTAGAAATTCCACAGAACACAATGTGATCTCAGGAAACGCAACTTTAGGAGTGTGAAAAGCAACATTATCCATCATTTGGAGTCGCTGGCATCAATGTATAACCTGTGTTAGGTCTCCATTAAGAAGAACAACATATCTGCCTCTCAGCAGCTTCATGCGCCAACATTTTAACCAGGTTGTTGTTTACTTTGTATGCCAGCTGTTTGGTAGGTTAAGGGCTGCTTGCTACATCTGGAAAGAGATAATGGTCAGGAAATCCAATGCAATAAGGACAAAGAGGCTAAAACATCTCTGTAGAGCTGAATCAGATGATAGTCTATGTGTTGTATTCACTCTCTCTTTTCCAAGTGTTATGGGGCGGGTAGGGCATCTGACCTGCAATAAAGGAAACCTCTACTCTACTCATTAAAACTCTTTATAAACTAAAATATAAAAGCCACATTAGAGCAGAGGAAGTGTTCACGTACAATAACAACTAAATGGATTGTTAGAAGAGGCAGGATCTTCCTGAGGGAAATGCTTTGTTGTTTAAGCTTTCATCCACTGGGAAGCTTCCTTATCAGATCTCATATGATGAATATTGAACACATTTCAACCTGTTCTACTGAGAGTATTGAGAGTATGAAATAGCAGGCCGGGTCTGTAACACGACTCGGTCTGACTCCTGCTCATATTTCAGTGTTTCCCCTACCATTGTCAACGGACCCCCGCGCCCCCCCCTGAAATTCAAGGTGTTTTTCTTTTTATAATACATATTTATAGCACCAAATTGCAACTAATCTATCTACTGTCACTTTTCACATTGAACACAATGTGCTCTTTTATTAAATAAACTAAACACTTTCATTTTAAGTTATGAGTTTAGTGTTTTTGACCCTAAGAAACACCGATGCATTTAATCAATAACAATAATCCCCCCCCCTGCTCAGACAGCACCCCCCCAAACCAGTAAACCTAGGGGACACACTGTATTGTAAACTAGAATCAAAGCCTTAATTGTTCTTATATGCCTCCATCAACCGGTCCGATTTAATTTAGTTATTTTACCCTTTAAGACAAGTGTGTCAAATTGTCATAATTAGTATATGATTGATTGAGTTATGGCCAATTACCCTTTTTGTGAGGTCGCAGTAACTTTGACCTTCAAACCCCAAAAGCTAATCAGTTCAACCCTGAGTCCAAGTGGACGTTCACCTGATTTAAATAAATTCTGCCAGGGTGTCGTTGAGATATCAGGTTTATGAAAATGCGAGAGACAAAAACATGAAGATTGTGAAAGCACACAAACTAATTGTGTGGTGAGAAATGTACTTGACTTCAGAGCAAGGTTAGCAAACAATGAAAATTAATGAGAATAATCAGTGAGTGAGTAGTGCCTCGAGGTCTGGCCTCATGCCCGACATTTTTTGGATGCAGGACTTACATCCATCTGCTAAACAAAGATTTAGAGATTGTTGATGCAGCATATTACTTTGATTAAAAAAAACATTAAAAAAGCAGAAATAGGCAGCCATTACACGTGATATGCATTTAGAAACCATCACAGACAATAAACATGTGATTAGAGATGCAGACAAATGATCACATGCCGGCTCCAACCCAACAACTCTATGTCAATGATGAAAAACAAGAAACAAGTGGAACGAATGTGATAGAAAAATACATAAGTTATGTTTTACATTTCACTTTTGGGGTTCATAACTACTATTATTATTATTAAGGGCATTCATAATCTGTGGACCATAATACAAGTGTTATAAACAAAGACTATAACACCTCTTTTGTACAAGACTACTTATGTGCAATATATACTTCCACCTTAAATACTATCACCTGGCTGCTAACTCACAACTCTTACTGGTACTGGATGTGTATTTGGTAAAATGTAAATTGTGTAATTGCTATTTTTATGCATGGTACATATTATATATTAAGCTTTGGGTCTTTACCTGCTTTAAAAATGTCCCCTCTGTGGGATGAGTAAAGGTATTCTGATGCTGATTCTGAATGTCTTTCAGAGACGTAAGTGAAGTAATGGAGGTTTTTGACATTGACAATCTGTGTGTGGAAGTAGCTCGGGCCCTGTGGGTGTGGATAATCGGTAATGACGTAGCTATCGTTACGCACACATATTCCCATAAGGGGGATTCAACTACATAGATAACACTGTGTACCGTATAACAACTGCTGTAAAATGACCTATTGTTTTCGTTATAGATTATTGATAATTAATATTAGCTTAGTATGTAGGTAAGCTAGCTCGCTTCAGAGGCTTAATGTGAGGCAGATAATGTTAGCGTACCTTTGACAACTGTCAAACCGGACCAGCGCGAGGTAACAAAGCTATAAAACAACAGAAAAGGACCAAAGTAAAGGCAGATATGTGATAAACATGATACTCACAGGCTGTGTTGTAACTGCTCCTCTGCTGGTTTAAGGTGAATTCAAGGGGATTTAACAGCCCTACAATCTGTACCGTTAACGGCAGTTGGTCAAACCAGCCGTTGACCTGAAACCGAAAGAGTATTTTAGCTTATTTCCCAAGTTTATAAAGATATGATAAATACAGCAACGACACCAGCCCCGTCCTGTCGAAACATATTTACGATAGGAAGGCTGCTTCTAAAAATCATAACAAATAACTGCAGCTCTTCTTCTTCTACGAAAGGATGCAACTGGCGAGAGGTTACACAGCGCCCCCTACAGGACAGAGGGGAGCATGCAGGGGAGACTGCGGACAGATGCATTATTACATCACATGTCACTTGTTAGACGCTTTTATCCACTGCGATTTACATACATTCAATACTAGTCTGTAGGCAATCCCCACAGGATCAATTTGGCGTGAATTTGAGTGTCTGTCCCAGGGACACATCGACATGCTGGCAGCTGACTGCAGTGGGACTAGTCCTCTGAGCAACACATTCACATTGCACGTTAGCAGTTTGTCCACTAGATGTCACTCTCTACATATTTTTGTCAGAGTATCAACCAGTGCAAAGTAGGAAGCCTTTACAATCCCAATTTCATTTTTACCTTCCTTCCAAGCTGCATGTTAAACTAAAATATAAATGTGAGTAGCCTCCAGCCTTTTAAAGCAATTAACCAAAACAAACAAATGTGTTTGGATGTGATTTGAAACCACAGCACATCCTAATGTTTTATAGTCCCCTCAGCTGCTTGTTAGTTGAGGCCAGATGTGGAAGAAGTACTCAGATCTTGTACTTGAGTACAATTATAAGTACTCAGATATTGTACTTTAGTAAAAGTAGAAGTACCAGAGTGTAGGAATACTCTGTTACAGTAAAAGTCCTGCATTCAATGATGTTACTCAAGTAAAAGTAGAAAAGTATTAGCATCAAAATATACATAAAGTACTAAAAGTAAAAGTATTCATTGTGCAGATTGGTCCATTTCAGAATAATATATATGATATATTTTATAATGATTGATCATTAAAGTGTTCTCAAAGCTGGTAAAGGTGCAGCTAGTTTGAATGACTTTGTATACTGCAGGGTAGCTTGTGAATTTACTCCAGGTGGAACTAAAGTCTGATTTAACACTTGATTATATTTCACATCATTCATCCACATCTGTAAAGTAACTAAAGGTATTAAATACATGTAGTGGAGGAAAAGTACACCATGTACCTCTGAACTGTAGTGGAGTAGAAGTACACAGTAGCATAACATGGAAATACTCAAGTAAAGTACAAGTACCTCAGAATTGTACTTAAGTACAGAACTTGAGTAAATGTACTTAGTTACTTTCCACCTCTGGTTGAGGCAAATGCCAGCGGGACTTTTACTTGTAACAGAGTATTCCTACACTCTGGTACTTCTACTTTTACTCAAGTTCAAGATCTGAGTACTTCTACTTTTACTCAATTACATGATCTGATTACTTCTCCCACCTGTGATTATGTATGATTGTGAACTTTCCTGCAGAAAGTTTGAAGATGGAAAGTGTCCTCCATCAATCACCCATAAGCCCCGCCCCCTGCTAAACGTCACATGGGGAGGAGTCATGACGCCGTTTCAAAGCCTGAACACATTGCACAAACCTCTCTTCTGTTCTCTGTCCGCGGAGCTCAGGACACTCAGAGCTGAGATCAGCCGGCACACAGTGAGCTGTTTGCGGGGAAACAGAGCAGGAACACCGGGGAGAAGCTCTCTGATCCACGGCTCAGGAGCTTCCACTCTGACCTCTTCAGGCTCCAGCAGCAGGTGAGGACATTTCAACATTCAAAGGTTTTATTGTCATATATGCACAAGAGCAACAGTGTAGACATGGCAAAGAAAAACTTAAGTCTCGAGCTCCTCCAACAATGCAAGGTAATAAGACATAAAACAGTAAAACTAAAATAGTGCAAGAAGAAACAGTAGAATAAAATGGTGCAGATTATGTTGCAATACCAATGTGCAAGTAATGCAGATGAAGTAAACTATATATATGTCAGGAAAATAAATAAATACAATAAGGTAAATAATGCAGAGCATATGTTGTAAGTGATCAAGTAAATGCAGGAGTCTACATTCATGTAAATAGAATAAGAACAGAATCTAAAATTGAATATGTTACCGTCAAATAAAGTACTGTTCTCTGCAGCCCGAGAAGAAACCAACACCTATATAGAATCAGAATTCCTTTATTAGTCCAACAACGCCGAGATATATAGCAGGTTAAAAAAAGGCATGCAATAATAAGCTAACTTAATAACTATAGGGAAGAAAATCAAATGAAAAAAATCCAATAAAGACAAATAAGTACACATCCATGGCTAAAAAACGAGGAGCAGCAATTTAAGAACTTATTGACATAACACATTTGGTAATGAGACATTATAAGAATGTAGGTTTTTCACATAAAGGTGATTATTGCACAGTATTGCAAGAAACATTTCCATATTGCACGTTTATTGCACAAGATTGCACAGTCTGTGGTGCTCTACCAGTCTGCAGGAAGGAAGGACTTAGCTTATATATTATCATATAATAGAACAACAAGATACTTTCCTGTATTTTCTAAACTTATGTTTTAACACCAGAGGAGGCAAATAGGTGGTGCTTTCTTCCCCCCCTACATAACCCTCTTCATCTTATCAAACCTGTTACTACAGATTTACAAGCTTGGTCATTTAAGATAATAACATGTATGTGCATGCAGCCTGCTTTGCTCCGTGTGTGTCTGCACTGAAAGCTCAAAAGGGAATCTCTATCATTTGACTGAAATGTAGTTTATTTTCAGCAGGAGAACAGTTCTGCCACAGCAGCTCGAGCCCTTGGTGTTAATTAAATAGAGATGAATGAAACAGCATGCCACTCAGGAACAGTGCATGAGTGTGAGCATCACTCTGCAGACTGTGACCTAAGGGTATTTGATATTTTTGTACGACCAAATGAGGTGGTGTTTTTCCACAAAGTTCCACATCTTAGCCGTGCAACATGAATTGACAACAAATGACGCCCAAGACAGTGGAACAGAAATGGCTGACGGGAGTAATCAGTTGAGCCTTTGAACATATTTTAAAGCATTGCATATCTCTGTGTCTATCCGACAACACAGGTTGACACAAAATAACGACAATTAACGGAAAAGGAATATTCAAATTGCACAGATTTAAAGCAGAAAAAATAAGCAAATCAGAAGAGTAACTGCATGTGATCCGAGGATGTTTGGTATTTTAGGTTGATAACTTTAGAATTGGAGGATGAAACCCTCTGTATTTGTCACACATATGCACACAGAACATACAATGGAATTGGACCTCTGCATTTAACCCATCATCGTACTAGGAGCAATGAGCAGCTATTGTACGGCACCCAGGAGGTGAACTGGGACTTCTCCAAGTCCACACTCCATATTTAGGTCGGTTTCGGGGAGTTGAACCGTAAATTCTATGGTTCCCAGGCCAAGTCCTTACAGACTGAGCCACTGCCGAACTTGAATCTGTTGTCCAAAAATATTGCATATGACAGTTGAGTTTATTTGAGTCCTTTCTCTCCTTATCTTAACACATTTATAAAAGTCATTGTCCTCATTGTGAAGACACTAACGGGTCAGAGGGACTGTAATGATTTACTCAATGTGATAAATTATTTGTTAGCAATAATACCTAAACAATGCCGTGACCTCTAATCCAACAAGCCTTTGTCCAGAAATATGGAAACAGAGAGAATGTGATACCCAACAGACAACTGATTAAGACAGTCCTGTTGTCCAGATGTCAGGAGTATTATTACAATAGTTATTTCTCTATGAGAGGAGATTGCATTCAGCTTGTGGAAAAGGAGACCTGAACCTGCCGGCAGTGGAATTGTGTTTCTCTTCATTAGCTCCCTATTAACTGCTTCATCAGTCACTTTATTATTAGGGCAGAACACAAGCAGTTGCTTATTGCCTCACCTTTGTTCTGCATGGGGAGGGTTCAGGTATCTGATGAAGACAGAGCGACTCCGTCAGCCTCACCAGTCTGTACAGGAAGTCTCATTTATGATCTCACTGAACAGAATGTATTGATATGCTGAACCTTGAATATTTGTTGTTTACGTTGATTTGTACAATGGACTCTTTTAGACGGTCCCTTCTCAGACATTCAGCGTGTTGCACCTGTTGTCAAGACCAGAATGAAATGTGTGAAAATAAAAAAAGGAGAGATTTAGACTGAGTTTTAAATCCTGCTCTCGTTCTGATCTCCACACCCAGATTATAATAATACCAATAATACATTTGATTTATAAGCACACTTTTCATTTGAGTAAACAAAACTCAAAGTGCTACAGAGTCAAATGGTTGAAACAAAAAAATAAAAGCAGTGACGTTATCAGTTTTGGAAAGAAACTCAAATTGTCGAGTCCACAAATCCCAACGTTGTTAGACGACCAAAATCAGAATTCCTTTATGCGTCCCACGAAGGAAACATTTACGTTGCTACAGCAAAGTATAGATAGAGACGGAGAACATAGAACACTATTATATAAAAAGGCATGCATTAAAGTATTTAAAATATAATAAATAATACAATTTACAGAGGTCCACATTCAAGTTGGGATTAAGTAGCAGCAGTATTTATAAAATAAAATACTAGAATGAAGTGTGGTAAATAACAGTAGTAAAATTATGATTGCACATGTGGGGGAAACTTCTGAAGCAATGGAGAATCAGGACTCAGAGAGACACGATGGAGAGCTGGAGCTTTGATGGCAAACACTGACGGTTTATTTGGAGCTTCGGCCGGAGAATTCACACGACATGTCACGGGCTGACCACACGGTTGAGATGCCACAATCAATTCTGAAGAACCCTCCTGTAGCTCGAGGTTTTAACTATCAGAGTGTAATAATCAACATTCTTCACTAGATAGACTAAACAAATATGGACCCTGAATCTAACTAGAGCTGTCGTCCATAGAAAATAATGTGCGCCAGGGAACCTACGTTCCTAAAAAGAAGGGCTTCTAGATGTCCCTGAACAATAAACTATCTCATGGTGGCTTGTGCTCGGTCATAAGCTGGCAACAACAATGCGCCCAAGCTGCCCTTCCTTAAGAGAGATAGCAGCAATACCCAAGGTCATAGACCTATGCCATGGGAAAGAGACAGTGAGAAGAGATAATTATGAACTGTGTCAAAGGTTGAATACCTAAGCAAATTATTCCCCAACAGCACAGACTTACGTAAAGATTCCTGTTGCAGTAATGGACTAACTAGGAGTAACAGATAGTAGTGATAATAATACATTAGCAGAACCACCCTGACCCCGTACACACTTTCTCCGCCGCACTTACTCCATCCTGAACCTGCTTTCGCTGTATTTCACTCACAGAGTCGGAAGCTTTTGTCTCGTTCAGACCCAAATCTGGTAAAAAAAAATACAGCGAGTCCACTGAGGGACAGGAAGGAAGACATCCTGTGTGTTTTGCTCCTGGTCGTTCACTGCTCTGAGTTAGGTAGTGGTGTCTCAGCTCTAGAGGTCTGAGACGTGACGTCGTGCCGTCTGGTTATCATTGAGACTTTGGGGTATCTATCCCCGTTAGAGATTTGTAGACTTGGGGAGTCAGGATACAAAAAAGAGGTGTGATGGTTTGATTACAATTACATTCAAGTAATCAGATTGCTAGCAGGATTACAGTGTTATAATACGTTTCGAAGTAAAGATCGATATATTATAGGTAGACGTACTGAATGGATTTTATTTATATTTAGGCTCCCTTAAATACCTTACTTTTTTTAATGATTTATTAAACAAAAAAACAGTCTGTGCTTTTGATTCATGTATTAAGTTTAAACAGAATTTCTTTACTATTACTGTCACTATATTTCTTATATGAAAATATGTTATGATATGAAAGTAAAAATCATCTTATGGTTATATATGTTCTCTTATTTGCATTGCATTTGATATCGATTGGGTTACAGTTTTTTGACATGTAACTAGTTATTGTAACCCTGTATCAACTTCATATACTGGTTTCAGAATGCTTAGTTAGTGTTTTCCCAGTTTAAGAAACCTCTAGAAAGGAGCTACTCTGATAGAAACCAGGAGGCTAAAGCACGTACATATCAAGTGAAGAAAACGATATATGATGATAAATGGATTTTTTTGAAACTGATATTCGAGTCAACGTCTGAAACCAGTAAAGCAGTGGGTGATGTTAGTGTTTCACTGGGTTCTTCCTAACCTATAGGAACATTTTGTACAGACAGTGGTGCAAAATACATGTATGTACATAGTGTGTCATGCAAAATATCGATATTTTAATTCATGCGTTTAAGATTATCCTCATTAAGGAAAACACAGACTCACTAAGAGCGTTGTAGTGTTTAAAACGTAATCAACCACCATCAGAAACCCAGGAACTGTAAAGAGAAATATGAAGGACCAGACTTCTTGTGTTCGAGGGGAATAGGAATAAAATGTAATTTATATATATTTGTTTTTGCATTCGGGATTGTGGGAAAAGGTATTTCGATCTCTCTGTCTGTACACACAAACTGAAAGATTGACAATAAAGACTTTGACTTTGACTTATAAAACTATAAATTCAGCCTGTTCGGTTCATACAATGCTCACAATGGGAACACCAGGATTGAAGTGGTTTATTTGAAAGTTAGATTTGTGAATAAAGGAGTGGGGCTTCATTCATTCATGAATCAGCCTCCACTAACAGGACGGTTTTGGTCCCAGTACAGGAGGCTGTTTGTGGTTGAGTGCAGCCTTGGGCTTCCTAACATGGTGTTCCTGTGGCTGATTAGAGCCAGGTGTCTACTCTACAAAATGAGGCTATTGAGGGCAGCCCGCTCTGCAGAGGACCAGCTGCTGCAATCTCAAATAATCTTGTGGGAAGGCTAGTCGTAAAGCTAAACATGCCCTTGGTGAAATGAGACTCTTTAGAGGACAAATTGTGCTGCTGTTGCTCATTTGGAAAATGAAATCTAGCACTGCAATTATTTTATGTTGTTGTTGGCGCTAATTATAAATCATAGAAGCGGCTGAAGAGGCAGTGTGTGCTGACTCATTGCTGAGCAGCACACACTGCTATGGTTGTACTCAGTGTGATTCAAAAGCAATATTATTCCCAGCTGTGCATGAAATCAGTTCAGTTTTGTCATGGAAAAATGAAGAAGGGAGAAATACAATACGTGTTGCCCTATGGCGTCCGAGCAACACTGTTTCCACCAACAGTTACAGTAACAGCAGCTACTCTCTTTTTAAAATCCCTGTTCGTTTTTTAAACTCTTTAACAATTAGTTTCCTTTCCGTGACGTTGGAGAGATGATGGAGGAATGAGCAGCTGAATCAAATAAAGTAGATTTCCAGAGGTCTCTGCATCCTGTCACTGCGCCGCCATGCTGCCGCTTCAAAGAGCCTCCTCTTGGGACGTATTATCAAGTTAAAGTTAGACGTATTTCTAGGCCCAAAAAGTGTGTGGGTTTCTTTTGAGTTGGACACTACTTTGAACTTGTTTGGCAGCTCTCTGATGGGAGTATGCTTGTGTGTGTGTGTGTGTTTTCTTTTTAGGGTTTCACATTCCCTTATCCCCACAAGTAAATAGCCCCCAGCTTTTTGCCAGGAAGTTCCAAAACCTATCGATTGTATCTGGTGCCAAGAGACACATTTGGAAAGTCAGGGCTGTAACTCTCTGTACACTCGGAGCACAGTACATGTACTGAGGGAGGATGTGATAGTTTAAATGAACCGTTCCCCTTCACACAGGTGTTAAAACACGAGAGAACAGTACTGCCAGACATGACATGGGGTTCTGAAAATGTATTTTATTCATGCAATCAATTAACAAACAGACAAGCAAACAAGACGTTTGAACACTGTAGGGCTGAGCACTTTCTCCTAGATTTGTGTGCTTTTCTTCAGTGAAAACTTGTTTAGGGCTGCTCGTTTTGTAGTTATAGTGCTGCAGATAAGTGAATATACCAGGGTAATCTTTCAAAAGTGTATACAAGTACTAAAACTCCTTAGACTGTACCAACACACACATTTTTTATCAGGAATATTGTGGATAGAGACATTTCTTTTGTAGCTTTTCATTTCTCAATGCCACATATTTTAACCGTTTCCATTGAATTCTTCCCCTTTCCTGTCCTCAGGTCTTCATGGTGAACAGCAGGGTGGAGGCGCCCACAGTGGCAGTGATGGGCGGAGGCGGGGGGGGCGGTGGGGAGGATGTGTGCAGGATGTGGAGGACGTATCGTGGACCGCTTCCTGCTCTTCTCCATGGAGCGATACTGGCACACACGCTGCCTGAAGTGCTCCTGCTGCCACGCTCAGCTGGGGGAGTACAGCAGCACCTGCTACAGCAAGGGGGGCATGATCCTCTGCAAGAACGACTACATCAGGTGAGAAGAGGGGGCAAGAGTACACACATCCTTTACTCAAGTAGAAGTACACATACTCGTGTTTAAAAATACTCTGGTAAAAGTAGAAGTACTGACTAAACTTCTTTACTCAAGTCAAAGTAAAGAGGGCTTTGAAATGTACTTAAGTAAAAAGTACCCATAACTAGCAGCTGTTTTAAAGAGTACCTGACCTCCCTTTATATTAATAGAACAATAATGTCATTGTTAGCTAATGAATGTTTCCATGCTGAACAACGGCAACATGACAACGTTTTCATTGGTCCCTCTTCTTTAGAGAAGACCAGGAAATGATGGATACACGGATCGTGTTCAAATCAATAGGCACGCAATGACTCTAAATAATAATGATCACGCCACCAAACACACATTCAAACTAAAGGAACCAGCCTGTTTGGAAAAGTAAGAAGTAGAAAGTACAGGTATTTGGGTTCAACATGTAAGAAGTAGAAAGTACAGGTATTTGTGTTCAACATGTAAGAAGTAGAAAGTACAGGTATTTGTGTTCAAAATGTAAGAAGTAGAAAGTACAGGTATTTGTGTTCAACATGTAAGAAGTAGAAAGTACAGGTATTTGGGTTCAACATGTAAGAAGTAGAAAGTACAGGTATTTGTGTTCAAAATGTAAGAAGTAGAAAGTACAGCTATTTGTGTTCAAAATGTAAGAAGTAGAAAGTACAGGTATTTGGGTTCAAAATGTAAGAAGTAGAAAGTACAGGTATTTGTGTTCAAAATGTAAGAAGTCAAAGTAAAAAGTAGTGGAGTAAAGTACTGATACCAGAAAAATGTACTTAAGTACAGTAACACAGTATTTGTACTCCACTACTTCCCACCTCTGCTCCCCCCAGCTTTTTGCCAGGAAGTTCCAAAACCAATCGATTGTATCTGGTGCCAAGAGACACATTTGGAAAGTCAGGGCTGTAACTCTCTGTACACTCGGAGCACAGTGCATGTACTGAGGGAGGATGTGATGATAGTTTAAATTAACCGTTCCCCTTCACACAGGTGTTACAACACTAAAGAACAGTACTGCCAGACACGACATGGGGTTCTGAAAATGTATTTTATTCATGTGAATCAATTAACAAACCGCAAAGCAAACAAGACATTTGAACATGTTAGGGCTGCTAGTTTTGTAATCTTTCAAAAGTGTATACAAGTACTAAAATGTTCGTACTGCTGCTCCGGAGAAGAGCATCACATTGTCTTCATGTCCAACAAGTTGTCTTCCTATTGATGGATGTTTATATATTCAGTTCACTATCACATCAGGCAGAACACTCACATTTAAGAAGCTAGAAACAGGTCATTTTAGGTCCTTTCCGCCTGAAAAAATACATTATTCATCTGTGGTTTTCAGCGTTACTCACAGAGAGCCTTTCCATTGGTCAAACTGGCCAAACAGACCATTGCAGACATTGGCCATAACGAGCTAGGCTAAAAAATGCCAGTTTATGAATGCCTTAAGATTGCTTTCCTCTCAAGTCACTCACAGCACTCCAACCTGAGTCGGCTGATACTCTTCTGACTGCTTTTCTATTAGTATTTTACCTGTGCTTTAATCAGTGGTGTATTCATTGTGAATGGCTTGTTTGAATTGCTTAATAGCATATGTTGGGGTTCTAGTATGAGCAGTAATTAACCAATATTAATGATCATTTATATTAATAGGGCCATTAATAATCATAAAATCATAACTAGGGGTCTATAATAACTGACTCTACAATGAAAGTGTAAAGAGTTTAGCGCACTTTAGACACAGGAATTGGTTTAGGGTTTTCACACCAATAGAGACATACGGGAAATTAAAATCCATGACCGAGTTGACAGGAATCCCAACAAATGTTAATAAGCAGTTTTACATACATGGTTCTCTGAATTGCTGGCTAAGTGGAGTAAAACTTGTCAAATATTTGTGTCTGTTTGTTTATTTGGTGTAACTATTTCTAGCTGTGTGCTGAACCAGTCTAGGACTTTAAGTTGTTGACCTGCCACTTAGCATCTGTTTCTGTAGTCCTGTGTAATGTGTGAAAAGGATTATAGTGATAGCTGTAGCTGATAATTAAAAGAAAACCTGAGTATAGCGCTCTTAGGCCACGTTTACACGGATACGATAACGAAAACGAACCTTAGTCGATATCAAAAAAGTCTTCCGTCCACACGAGACCGCTCGACCCGCTGGAGACGCTGTAGTACACATGCCGGGCCTGTAAGTGGCGCTGTACTTCCGCCACAAAATACACCAAAAGCAGCGAAGAAGACCCCCCGAGCATGGTTGCCTGGTTGCCCTTCTGTTTATTCCCCGCGGTGGATTTAGCAACATGTAGTTCATGTAATTCTCCATGTCCACTTGTTGCTGATGGTTGTGGTAGAGGAGCTGTAGAGTTTGCACTAACATCTGTAGCATGGTCAGTAGCAGACAGTAGCTACTGACCATGCTACAGCAGTGAGCAGAAGAGGTTGTTGGCGAAAACTCTTCAGCAATGACGCGGGGGTGAGCAGGAGAGGTGGGGAGAGGCGGGGCTATGGCGTATAGGACGTACACACGGAGCCGTTTGGCCCCCCAGAGCGTTTCGTCCGCAGATCTACCCACCTTGGGACCCGTTATCGTTTGAGGGCTCCGTTTCCGCGGTTCCGTTACGGCCTTGTGTGAACGAACCGTCCATACGATAGAGAACTGTAGCGGATACAACCCGTTGCGTCTCCGTGTAAACGTGGCCTTATTGCCGGCTTATAACTCATTTGACGTTGGTATTAGAGATGCAGAAGACGTATAGCAGCGTGAGTGAGACCCAATGTCAGTAAAGCTGTAACTGAGCCTTAAGAGGTGTGTGTGTGTGTGTGTGTGTGTGTGTGTGTGTGTGTGTGTGTGTGTGTGTGTGTGTGTGTGTGTGTGTGTGTGTGTGTGTGTGTGTGTGTGTGTGTGTGTGTGTGTGTGTGTGTGTGTGTGTGTGTGTGTGTGTGTGTGTGTGTGTGTGTGTGTGTGTGTGTGTGTGTGTGTGTGTGTGTGTGTGTGTGTGTGTGTGTGTGTGTGTGTGTGTGTGTGGGTTAATTAATTAAGGAGAACAGGAATCCTCTCAGGCGCTCTCATTAAATGACTGTTTGGATTAAGATAACAAATTCATTACTCTGTGCACTCACTGAGAGATGGAGGCAGAGAGCATCAGTTTCACCAGAGCTGTAACCATGACTTCCACCTGCTGGAGTTCAGGTGCTATTATGGTTACAAGTGGTCACCTAATGTGCAAAATGCACTTGTTCATGTCTCTTCTACATCAACATGTGTCCCCTCTTCTTCATGTCTCTTCTACATCAACATGTGTCCCCTCTTCTTCATGTCTCTTCTACATCAACATGTGTCCCCTCTTCTTCATGTCTCTTCTACATCAACATGTGTCCCCTCTTCTTCATGTCTCTTCTTCATCAACATGTGTCCCCCCCTCTGTGTAAAGAGATTCTGAAAGTTTCAGGAACAAAGATTCTCTCTCTTTTTGTCCTGATCCATTTTTATAAAAACCTGTCTGAAAATGAGCTGATCAGATTGTGGACACTTTATGATGTCACAATGTTTTTTTGGCTTGTGTAACCATTAGCCAATCAGCAACCAAGGTAATGCACATATACTATAGATCAGGGGTGTCAAACTCAAGGCCCGGGGGCCAAATCCGGCCCGCGACTTCATTTTATGTGGCCCGCAAGAGCTCTGAAAGAATATAATACGTTTATTATACGGTTACATGATGATTTACAGAAGCACGTTGCCCATAAACTACATGTCCCACAATGCATCTCGTTTTGTGACATGCGCACTGAAGAGACTTGCAATTATTTGCCCTGGACTTCTGCTTTCAGATGTAGTTAATTACGAAGTTATTACCCTATCCGATAATAACCCAATTCAGAGGCAATAATGTAATATAATACATTATTTGATATATATATTATATATTTATATATGTATAAATTATATAGTTACAACCGGCCCTTTGAGTGCAACCATAATGCTAATGTGGCCCACGATGAAATTGAGTTTGACACCCCTGCTATAGATACTGTATCTCACCTCCAACCCAACGGGCTAACACTGAAAAGAATGTCTGTGCTGTTCTTTGTACAAACTCTATTTACACTTGAGAGTTCAGACGAAGGACAGGAGCGTTGAGTCTCTATATGTGTTGCTCACAGGAACACCTGCGTACTCAGGTGACGCAGGAAGAGATGGTGACGCTGTGGGCCTCGGGGCTGTGATAATGCTGTCTGCATCAAGTGTTGAACTTTTACATCTTGCTATGAATGATATGCTAAATATCAGATGGCCTTTTTATAATGTTCTTCTTGCTAATTAGGGACGATGCCAGCTCTTCAAATGTCACACAGCCAAACCTCTGTCTCATCCAGCTCAGAGAGATCTGTGTGAAGGGCAGTTTGGTTACCTGTTGTTGGTAACTGGGCAATTTAAAGTTGACTTTTAAAGTGATACGAAATAAATACTCATTCTAGACTTGGAAGATTGCAGGTTGCTCCTTTGCAAAGAACAGCATCTAGTTCGATTGACCTCCTGTCTCTTATTAGATTAGATTAAACGTTATTGTCATTGCACAGAGGACAACGAAATGCAGTTAGCATCCAAACAGAAAGAGCAAAGAGTAGTATAGTGCATTCGTTTTCAATGAATTTATATAACAGAACAAACACAAGGTGCAGGGTTTAGTTAGTTAAATACAGATGTTATAAATAGTAAATAAAGACATCGTTAATGAGTCCCAAGAAGTGAAACGTCCCTGAGTGTGAGGCGCTGTGGGTTTGAGCACCGTGACATTGAAAGGGGAGTGTGAGTGTGGTAATACTCATTCTTACTTACAACACCCACCAATTACAAAGGATCCCTCTCAAAGTGCTTCCTTTGGAGTGTGTCGATGTGCTGAGGGTGAAGTGTTGTTGATGCAGCAGCCATTGAACTAACAGACTCGTGTGTGTTCTCCTCAGAACTGTAACAGGATGTGTATTTTGTAAATTGTGTCATTTTTATTATTATTTTTGTATCTTTAATATTTTGTATGCATGCTTCTTAGGTAACATTAAAGGGGACCTATCATGCAAAATGCACTTTTTGATGTCTTTTATACATAAATGTGTCCCCGGTGTGTCAGGGAACTCACGCAGCGTCAGAAAATAAAACCCTCTCTCTTTTCCTCCGTACCCAAATCTCTAAAAACGGGGCTGCAACGGAGCTGATCCAGATTTGCGTCCGATATGACGTAATATCTGAAATGTGGACCCACGGCCCTATCAGAAACGTTGCTATCAGAAACAACGCCCGATAGTTTTGGACGTAATATGGTCTATGTTTACATTAGCATCGCTAACACTCAGAGCTAACCTGTACTGGAGAGCATGTGTGTGAAGAAGCAGGAAATAAAAAGGAACTCACCTTGTGGTATAACCGGCAAGAGAGAAAGCCTTTGAGCTCCATACTGTTTCAGAAAGAATCCTTGATAATCCATGATATGGCGTTTCATCACGGCAGTATTTAGTTTAGACAGTAGCTGCCGGGTCCCGCATGAGCTCAGCCCACTCCTTTTTTTTTAATATATATATTTTTTTTTAAAGCTTTATACCCCAAATCAGCACTTTTGAAACAGGAAGTGAAATAGAGGGATATGAGGCATGGCTAGAATGGGTGATCTGTTTGGTATTTTGAGCAAAACACTTCATAGGCATGTTTTTTATATATTTTTATATATCTGAGACCTATGCTATTGCCTAAAAGTAGCATTATAGGTGCACTTTAAGCTGTCTTTGGCTCTTTTCTGCTCTAACAATGTAAATGTATTCTGATTCTGATTCTGATTCTGATTCTGGTTCTGTTTACAGGCTGTTTGGACACAGTGGCGCCTGCAGTTCTTGTGGACAGTCGATTCCTGCCAGTGAGATGGTGATGAGAGCACAAGGCAATGTTTACCACCTTAAGGTGAGTGTGTCACTAAAGCATGACTATAAACCTTTATGCTGTTTTATTGGATTTGATTTGATTTATTTAGAACGTGTAAAACAATAATACAAAAAAATTATAAAAATTATGAAATGAGACATGAGCATTATGATACTGTACAAACTTAAGCAGTATCAAAGTGATAAACAAAAATAGTATTGACTTACAAATTATATATAAACAAATGATCTACATAATTACACATTCGAAAATTATTATTGAAAGCCTTGTCTTGTATATTAATAGTTATCCACGCAATAAACCGTATTTAATTTTGTCTTAATGTACATTATTTAATTTCATATTCTGTTCTTGTACATATCATATTCTATTGACATGTATATAGACTTTTTGCACTACTTTTTATTTTGTATTTTTGTATTTTATTATATATGTTGCATTGTTGGAGGAGCTCAGGTCAGAAGAATTTCATTGCCATTTCTACACTGTAATACAACCTTTGAATTGAATTTGATAAACCCTGTTGTGTAATAGAAGCTTTGAATGAAGAACCAAGCGAGTCTTGTCCAAACTGAACGTGTTTACTTTGTATTAATAGAACAGGTACCAACAAGAAGACAAGGGGAAATGCACTTCACATACTCGTATTCCTTTCAAAATCATAACAGGAAACAGAATGAGCAGGACACATACTTGCACTTCAAAATAAAAGCATTTCCTGTCAAACATTTCGCCCTTAGCTTTTATCAGGAAGCAAATATACAAATTATGTGTACTGCTTTAAACAAACCCTGATCCTCTGTGTGTCCCCAGTGCTTCACCTGTGCGACCTGTAGGAACCGTCTGGTGCCTGGCGACCGTTTCCACTACGTTAACGGGACGATCTTCTGTGAACACGACCGGCCGGGGGGGGGTCTGCTCAGCGGACACCCCCCCCCTCTGCAGAACAACAGCATGCTGTCGGACCAGAAGGTGAGAGGACATGTGATCATACTAACTAACATTTCTTTATACGCCTTTGGTGTGTGTGTGTGTGTGTGTGTGCATAATCAAACACAGGCTATATCAACCAGCCATTTGTATGGCAATCACAAAGGGAAAAACTGAGGGATATTTTAACCCTTAAATGGTCATGGGACAGGCTGTGTCCATGTGTAAAATGAGTGTAATAACAGTGCAACATTGGGTATAATTTGGGTGTAACATGGGTGTAATAACAGTGTAACATTGGGTATAATTTGGGTATAACATGAGGGTAATAACAGTGTAACATTGGGTATAATTTGGGTGTAACATGGGTGTAATAACAGTGTAACATTGGGTATATTATGGGTCCAATAATGGTGTAACATGGGTATAATATGGGTGTATTACAGGTGTAATAATGGTGTAACATTGGGTATAATTTGGGTGTAACATGGGTGTAATAACAGTGTAACATTGGGTATAATTTGGGTGTAACATGGGTGTAATAACAGTGTAACATTGGGTATAATTTGGGTGTAATAACAGTGTAACATTGGGTATAATTTGGGTGTAATAACAGTGTAACATTGGGTATAATTTGGTGTAACATGGGTGTAATAACAGTGTAACATTGGGTATAATTTGGGTGTAACATGGGTGTAATAACAGTGTAACATTGGGTATAATTTGGGTGTAATAACAGTGTAACATTGGGTATAATTTGGGTGTAACATGGGTGTAATAACAGTGTAACATTGGGTATAATTTGGGTATAACATGAGGGTAATAACAGTGTAACATTGGGTATAATTTGGGTGTAACATGGGTGTAATAACAGTGTAACATTGGGTATATTATGGGTCCAATAATGGTGTAACATGGGTATAATATGGGTGTATTACAGGTGTAATAATGGTGTAACATTGGGTATAATTTGGGTGTAACATGGGTGTAATAACAGTGTAACATTGGGTATAATTTGAGTGTAACATGGGTGTAATAACAGTGTAACATTGGGTATAATTTGGGTGTAACATGGGTGTAATAACAGTGTAACATTGGGTATAATTTGGGTGTAACATGGGTGTAATAACAGTGTAACATTGGGTATAATTTGGGTGTAACATGGGTGTAATAACAGTGTAACATTGGGTATAATTTGGGTGTAACATGGGGTGTAATAACAGTGTAACATTGGGTATAATTTGGGTGTAACATAGGTGTAATAACAGTGTAACATTGGGTATAATATGGGTGTAACATGAGGGTAATAACAGTGTAACATTGGGTATAATTTGGGTGTAACATGAGGGTAATAACAGTGTAACATTGGGTATAATTTGGGTGTAACATGGGTGTAATAACAGTGTAACATTGGGTATATTATGGGTCCAATAATGGTGTAACATGGGTATAATATGGGTGTATTACAGGTGTAATAATGGTGTAACATTGGGTATAATTTGGGTGTAACATGGGTGTAATAACAGTGTAACATTGGGTATAATTTGGGTATAACATGAGGGTAATAACAGTGTAACATTGGGTATAATTTGGGTGTAACATGGGTGTAATAACAGTGTAACATTGGGTATAATTTGGGTATAACATGAGGGTAATAACAGTGTCACATTGGGTATAATTTGGGTATAACATGAGGGTAATAACAGTGTAACATTGGGTATAATTTGGGTGTAACATGAGGGTAATAACAGTGTAACATTGGGTATAATTTGGGTGTAACATGGGTGTAATAACAGTGTAACATTGGGTATATTATGGGTCCAATAATGGTGTAACATGGGTATAATATGGGTGTATTACAGGTGTAATAATGGTGTAACATTGGGTATAATTTGGGTGTAACATGGGTGTAATAACAGTGTAACATTGGGTATAATTTGGGTGTAACATGGGTGTAATAACAGTGTAACATTGGGTATAATTTGGGTGTAATAACAGTGTAACATTGGGTATAATTTGGGTGTAACATGGGTGTAATAACAGTGTAACATTGGGTATAATTTGGGTGTAATAACAGTGTAACATTGGGTATAATTTGGGTGTAATAACAGTGTAACATTGGGTATAATTTGGGTGTAACATGGGTGTAATAACAGTGTAACATTGGGTATAATTTGGGTGTAATAACAGTGTAACATTGGGTATATTATGGGTCCAATAATGGTGTAACATGGGTATAATATGGGTGTATTACAGGTGTAATAATGGTGTAACATGGTTTTCATAGCGGTGTATTAATGTGTTATAGCAGTGTTATATCGGTGGAATGTAGAAAATAACAATCAATGAACTCCAAAACATTTATTTTGTGATTGGCCAGTTGAGGCCGAATTGCACCTGGATGCCGCCCGTATATATATACTATTATAGGATTATAAATTATGGCACAACTAAAGGAAATTATCTCCTCGTGATTCAGAGGTCTTCAAATGCAGAAACGTAACAAACAACAGGATGTAAACTCCCTGACTGTACGACGTGTGACATTAATTACAACCTCTTCTCTCCGCTGTTTACAGGTCTGCTGAGGATTAGGAGGAAAAACCAAATGTGTGCCTTCTCCCCGACCTTCATTCTTTGTCTCTCCTTCACCTCCTTCCTCTACCCGTCCTCCAGTCTGGATGAAGTCGTACTCGTTTAGATTTCAACATCCCAAACAGACACTGGTCTCCTCTGAGGACTGTGAGGAGAGAAATCTGGACAAAGTGCAGGAGGACGAGGACGCTGAGGATGGAATTTATGTAGACTGTTGTCTATTGTGAACTGTGGAAATATAACTGATAAGAAGTGGCATGGCTAACGAGCAAAAAGGAGGACTGCCATGCAATCATCCAATTTGGAAATCCAGCGTAATTATTCACGTTTACCCGCTAACCAATCACAGTGGAGGAGAGAAGACTGACAGCACTGGGTATATTTCAGAAGGTGAATATACCTCCAACATCACAAACCACACACACTTAGTTTGATCATGTTTCTTTTGGTGTGAGGAAACGAAAGTATGGATCTGGTGAATCGTGATTCCAGCTGCTGGATGTTTCCCTGCAGACTCTGAGCGACAGGTGAAGAGGAAAACATCTGTATAGATACCTTCAACATGTCTCTGTTTGATTGTCTTTAAAATATTAACCAAACAGGATAATATTCAGATTGATAATCGCCATGTTGTGCTTCCCGTCTCGGACAGAAGCAGCTTGATTTATCCTGTCACAGTTCGTGTACTAAACTCATATTAAAGTCAATATTTCGGTAAATAAGGACCATTCATTTATTCCCAGTTTGAATGTGAGAAACCTTGAGCGAAGTAGGCGATTCATCCCGATGAATTACACTCTGCCGTCTCCCTGCTTCCCCTATGCTAACTGGAAAAGGGATAAAATAATCCTCATACAATTAATACAATTGAATGCATTGTAATGAATATAAACGCATAATAATTTGCATTTTCTGATGCTGATTTGCTGTTTTTGCAAATGTTGTTCAATTTTTGTTCAACATTTGGACCAAACTTGATTTTTTATCTCAGTAAGTAAGTATAATTTAAGTCAAAGTCGTGGGCAATCGCTATATTGAGCCATAAGTGAAGGCCCGTCTAAAGAATCCCGAAATGAGAAATGGCGACAGTTTAAGAGTCTAACTCCACAATTCAGTTCTTTATCGTCTTTTCAGACACTTTTTCCAACACTTAACTTTATCCGGACTAACACACGGTTCATTTGTGAATCAGAACTACTTATTTTGGTGTAGGAAACAAAACGACAAAAAAAAAAAATCCTGTTATGGTTACAATATGTTTGTTTGTTTGTTTGTTGCGTGACTTAAGTTTAAGGTTTTAATGATGACGTTTTTATGCAGAAGAATAAAAGTATTGCTTTTCCCAAAAAGAAACATTATGGTTGTGAATTATTTTACTAACTTTTGACCCTTCGGCTAACTCTGAGGTTAGCCATGTAGCTAACTGGGAATCTACACCCACAGTGTCTATGAAATATGCAAGTTGTGTATGGAATAACATGATATTAATTACACCTTTACGTGTGTTACCTACGTCTTGCAATTTAGGAATGCTACAAAATTGATCTACAAGTCAACGGTTTGGTTTTGGAAAAATGTTTGGTACATGGTGGTTTCCTGGGTCCATCTGTATATGGATGTTTAAAGAGAACTGGATACACCATTGGTGGCGCGTGAAGCCAAAATGGCCTGAATCTTTATGAGAAATACCTGCATCTTCCAAGGATCTTCTGGCCATCTTCTGCATCCTCGAGGCCCAAAGAGCACCTCTCAATGTAGCATGCCACAAACTCTTTAAAACAAGGTCTCTAACAGTTGGGATTCTCACTTGCATTTTAATGTTTGACATGTCCCAAAAGGCCCATAGAGAGGCGAAGTCCCGCCCATCTACTTCCGACCCATGGGACCTTATTTCGGAAAAATTATGTATTGAAGTCAATGGGGAGAGAACGATTATCTTTCGATCCCGTTTGAATTGTGCCATGAATTACACATATGATGTTTGTCAATCTTAAAAAATCATTTCCATGTAAAAAAAGTCACAGTTTGTCGTAAAACTGTTGAAATATAAGACTATGAAAAATATGCAACTAGAAAGACTACAAATCCCAGCATCCCGGTCCCGCATGCTGGCTCTTAGGAACCGACTAACTCCCCTTGTGTGTATGTACAGCTCTCAACATGCCCAGACTTGGAGTGATTTTCACCTCTTTTAATACTTTCCGCCTCATTCTGAAAGAAAGAAGTGAAATGTGCCAACGTGACGGCCGTCTGGGTGTGTGGTGCGAGACGGGAGATGTAGTTCATTGAGCGGTTTCACACAAACAAAAGTGTTACTTCACAGTTTTACGACACATTTTTATTTTTTAGACTTGCAAAATTATCTTTTAAATTGGCAAACATCATATGTGTAATTCGTGGCACAATTCAAACGGGATCGAAAGATAATCTTTCTCTCTCCATTGACTTCAATACATAATCTTTCCGGAATAAGGTCCCATGGAGGTCCCCCGGAAAGGGAGGGACTTCGCCTCTCTATGATTCCACATTTCACAGTTTCTGGATTTGGTATCATTTCTAAGCTTCGGTTGTTTAGGGCCTGGAAGTTTAACGCTCCCTAAGAATTACATAAGAATGTAATTTGTTATTTCTTCTTCAAGGTCTTTCTTCTCTCCTTCAGCTGTTGATGGTACATCATGGGTACTGTTGGGCCTCGTGTGTTTGCAAAGATACATCTCATGAAGCCAAAGCAGCATTGATGTTTTCTTTACATGCCAAATGTTTATTGTGGCTATTGTCAAGTTTCTGTGAAGGACGATTAAGAAGATATGTTAAAGTGTCCTTGTGTTGTGCTACAGAGTATGAATCATGATGCAATCAAGTGTGTGGATCAATGCTAATTCCTCTTGAAAGAACTCATGATCATTTAGCCATTTACCTTTGTTTTCTGTCATGTGATGAGTGTGTTACAGTAGAGTGTGTATCAACAAGTTACAGGTAGCCGATGCAGGCTGAGGAGTAAGTAAGAGATGCTTGTGGATCTCAGACAAACATGGCTGATTACCCACAGGAATGGGATTTCAAAGGCCTGAGTCGAAGCCATTACAGAAGCAATTAAAGTGGGATGCGCTGGAGGCCTGCATGGGTTTAGCTGCATTGCTGCTGCAGCCTAATGAGGCCTAATCTGGTGAGCTGGTCTAATTAAAAGGGAAGGCGTTTTCCTGTGGGCTCCAGGCAGCAGCAGTTTGTGCTCTGCTGTCAGACGGGAAACAGCAAGTCAGAAAGTGTATTGTTTTTAACCATGAAACGTTTCTGATTCCTCCCTCCTCTGTCCGTCCCAATTAAAATATTTAACTTGACATTTTAAACATCTCTTCTGGTCTCTGATCTTTTTTTCAGGGTCCGTCCTGATTGCTTTTTGGCACGGAACACGCCTTTAAATTAGCCTTATTTGTAAGCGTACATTTGGCTTGGAAACTACACGACGATCTCTTTCATGCTAATTTAGGATCGCTCTTTTTCCCATATTGTTTGTGTGGCTTTTCAACAGAGCAACATTAGAGGGTGTTTTGAAGCAGGCCGAACGGGCAGAGGCACACACGAGTAGCCAGCTGTGACTCTTCAAATTAACGGCCGCAGAATTCAGCAGCTCCTCTCACATGGTAAGTCCAATTAGCGTCACATTCACAGAAACAATGAGGCTTTTAATGGGAGCGTTTCAAAGTGCTCTCAACACAGCAGAGCAACACATTCCTCTGGTTTCTCAGTCAGAAAGCCCAAACTGAGGCACACAAGTTTCTCATTTTCTCTGTTTGTGCGTTTGTATTGTTGGGGGCCTTTGCTGCAAATCACCATGAAGATTGAAGTGAGTGCATGATGGATACAAAGTAAAATACAGCTTCTAATAACACCGTTAGCTTGTGTTTTGATATAAATCATACACTTATATGTAAGCATGACCTGAGACTGGATGGTGAAAAGCGCTGAAGATTGAAATGGGAGTTATATTGACTGGATTGATATGACCATTTTGAACAAATACATACTGTTTGGAGGTCTTTAAGTTCATCTAGTCTCTAACACCTTTATCATTTTAATACTTTAAAGGAACAAGCTGATGAACATATGTGTCCCCTACATAAGAGATGGGAAAGAAATCAGTGGGAAAATATCACAGTGACACACAAGAGTTCATACAGCACTTATTGGAGACACACAAACTAAAAGCATCCTCAAAATAGCTTAGACAGAAACCTAATATGTAAAGTGAAACTGAGTTAGCAGCAGAAAGAAATCTACATGTACAAAATATATAAAATCAAACCAAAGTAATTTCACAATGTCTGAAACTGAGCCTTAAAAATCCGGCCCCATGAGTAATAACAATACACCATCCCATATTAATGATACCTGGAAACAGATAAGTGTGTGAGAATGGAGAGCCCATGCCAAAACCTTACGAACAAACTCAGTGACTCGTAACGTTTAAAGTCAATACTCAATATTCACCGAATGTTCCTCACGTCAGCTGATAAACGCCCTAGCACTGTGGTTCCCAATTGGGGGTAAGGGTATCCCTGGTACTTGAGGAGGATTGCAGGGGGTACGTAGAAAGATTAGGGATTTCAATATTTTTTTATAAATGTTCATTAGCCTAGTGTCCCGCCCCCAGAACTGTCAAAGCTTAAGAAAGACAAGCTCAAGTGTCTCATTAAGAGCTCTAGTCTTATCAAAAGATGTTGAAACTGATAGAAGTGAGTCTTAATATTATTATTTTTCACTGACAATAAGTGTAAATGTCAAGTTTAAATGCATTTGTATTAAGGGTGAGTTATACAAGGGATTTTCCTCTCAGGAGCAGTTGGGTTAAACACGATAACAAAGGGTTTAACACAAGAAAACATGAATCATCCCAGATGAGCGGGGGGGTTCTTTCGATAGCTCAAAGGGTACAAACGGTTGGGAACCATTGCTCTAGCATGTGCACAACCTAATCAGTGACTTCCTCCATTTGTGTGCTGGGTAGGAAACAAACAGTTGTGTTTCAGAGCCTCTTCAAGTGTTGAGAGTGAACGGTGAAGCTGCAGCTGGTCAAACCAAAACAACGAGCTGAGGAATACCAAAATGTCCAGGAGCTGAGAGGACTGCAGAGTTGGTGGTTTGTCAGTATGAACGAGACATAACAAGTCTGGATCCATTTGAAATATGAATCTATCAATAACTGCAACTTAAAACATGAATTGCAGTTCGTTTCAACAACTTTTACATCAGATGTTTCCATGAAGAATACAGTTATGTTATTGCAAACATAATGAAAGCTGATATCATTCTGTATTCCATGTCCTGATACCTAAAGGACACTTTAGTTAAACCAAATTGGATTCATAAGTTGATTAAAAGCCAATCTAGGAGACTTAAATTGTATCTTAATGTAACTGAAGCTAATATAATCAGATATTAATTATAATTCCCAAATTAAACTTGAATTAATTGCTCAGAGATGTTGATATACACCTTTCATGCGAGGTGTTGAATGTGTACGTACATACAGTATGAGGCCAAATGTGAGTCATACCCTCTGCAAACTTTTACTTGCCTCACCTTGTGTCTTTGCAGTCTTGCTAATTGGTTCTTGAACTCGTCAAGCTAATTAATGAAATGCAGATGAGGCTTGATTGGTTTGAGTGTGGCATGCAACGTGCACCATGGAGGGAGATTGGGAGACCCCCTTCTTGCTTATCAAGATATGGAGATAATTGCAATTAAAGTAATTTGCATGCGCTAATGAATTTGTCTTTTGCTTTTCATTATCACAGACACGGAGTAAATAATTGATTTTCTATCAGCACTGTCAAACTGACTTTGTGTTGAAGTCGACAAACAAGAAACTGACTCTATGATTCAAGGTGGGGAGACTGTACTCATGCAAAGCAATAGTTCAGAACTGTAGATTCATTTAATGCGATCACAAAGACAAACTGTCCTAACCTGACCCCAGCTCACCCTCTGTCTCTCATTATGGGCGACTGTGGCTGAGAGGGAGTGCAGCCATTTTAAAACCAGAAGGTTGTTGGTTCGATCCCAGCCCGGTCAGACAACATATCGATGTGTCCTTGGGCAAGATACTGAACCATGAGTTGCTCCCGATGGCCAACGTTGTGTGAGTGTGTGACTGTGTGTGAGTGTTAGCTTCTCTAGAGCAAGTGGTACTGCTCTGCATGAATCAGCTTTAGCGGGTCGAAAAGACCTGATAAAGAGTATGTAAGTACAGTCCATTTTATTCAGTTTGAGATACTGAAATGACATTTAAGAAATGGCCAATTGTAAGGCATGGCATGGTAGGAAGAAAAGAGGATCTTACTTAAAGG